TACCAATTATTTTATAAATCCCTTACAATAACTGTCAAAAAATAAATCCAATCTCATCAAAATTTTTGCTTCTTCAAACAGCCTTGTAAAGCTCTGATGCAACTGTTATTCTGTAAAGTATAATGTACCAACTCCAAATGGACATAAAAACCTGACTTCCATGTGATGCGGTGGGATGATCAGAAAGTCAGAGACTTCATAACTGAGCTACCGAAACAGGGTGCAAGAAATGGACTCCGTTGGCAAATACAAATTTAACTTTTGGACTATTTGATTGCTTGTTTAAGGGCTTATTTATCTCAGTAGCAGGTTGTATTAACAATGGAGCATTGAATGATAATTGTTTGCGGATAGTGAAACGTTTAGATGCTATCGATTTAACAGATATACAGGACTTTGCAGCCCTGTCATTGGAAACCTTTTCTTGACTGGTTGTTTTAAAAGTTGGGCAGAACAGCGTACACAAACAGCTTCTAATGGGTATAAATCTTTATTTACACTTGTAGTAATCACAATGTCGATTCACGAGGTATTCAACTTATGATTTTGCCAAAAATTTAAAATGATTGTGATTAACAGTCCACAAGTCGAATACAGGTTTTTGTTTAAAATAGCTAGAATTTTTGGGAAGAACGCTAGTTATCAAAGAGATACTGGATATTCGTTATCATATCTGTACTGCATAACAGAACAACACCTACCGGCCCTAAACAGTGCTAACGTGTGCCAACATTGCAGTTTCTGACGTCGTAGCAATAGTTGTTAGAGGTTAGGAAAGCTCCAATGCATTCTCCAGTTGCAGAACGATTTGCTGCAGGTGTTGTGGTATCAATACCAGTCAGTGTTCTCAGTTTCAGATTGTTGAGCAAAACATTCCTTGCGTGAAGAGCCTCTTGAAATAGTTCAGTAAACTTTTCATTGACTTTGAAGACTTTAATTAAGTGAGGATGTATTTGGAAGCCCGCAGTTTTCACTTGAAATCGTAAGAGACATTATCTTGAAGATGATAACAATATGGAAGGTTTGGTAGTTTATAAGATCTGGTTTGCCAAATCACCAATCACACTAGTTTTGAAAGGAATGAATACAATTTCCACTTGTTACAGGGACTTGAACGGAAGAAATGATCTGTAAATCTGTGGTGTTTGAATGAACTAATAATTCCTTTGTACTGGCTGAAAGCTTGATTTCGAACTCTAAATACAGCACATTCGTTTGTGGTTATCTAGTACTTCTTGATCCAATTACGTTATTTCTGGGATTCTTAGTTCATACTATAATTCAAATACTCCTAATCATCACAAAACCTCTTCGCTAAATCCACGTTTATTTATGACTCCCCTTAGCTTCGACATTTCTTTTCAAGAACCATGTCCCAGCTTAATAATGTGAAATAGTCTTACCAACTCCTGTAGATCGGTTAAATCTCACTTTTTAAAGATACTACTTGGGTGTTTCGTGAGGTTCATGCACTTCTCTTTTAAACATTATAGATTTAAAGTATGTTTGGTCAGGTAATGCGTTTGTGACTGCAAGAAAATGAGCATGCAGACTGATGAAACCATGACTGTAATAGTCAGACTATACACACTAGTACTTTGCTGTCATACTATCCAAACATAATCGCTTGAGTTGTAAAGGTGAGGAGGTCCGGCTTCCTAATCTAAATTGGCTTTGGATTGTGCTTAATGATTGTAGGATAAGGAATATGTAAAAATAAGAGATTCAAAAAACACAGAAAAGCGTATCATAATCCTTATTATTTATACATAAACGGTGAATTAGTTTATAAGCTTATAGTATGTTCTTTGATATACTGGACCATATAATAGGGACCTGTTTTGCAGAATACGATTGAGTTAAATGATAATGTTGGCAGAACATAGGCTCGAAAGATATAACGGGTAGTGCGGCGAAGAGACGCATTGTGAGAAATAATGAGTGACAAGCCAGCACACACAAGTATGAACAAAGCACTAAAGTTATACAAATAAGATGCGTGCGTGCTGAAGTTTACAGGTTCTCTTGAAAACAACGGAGTTATTATAAAGGCAAAAGTGATTCGTTGTCACATTTCGTTTGAGCTACCCAGGTCTTTTAAAGTTAGGATTGATTATGTGAGCATATATTAATATTAGACACTACGACGTCGAGCTCACTAAGGAAGATGGTTTTTATATGGTAAAGTAAGGCAATGTTAATAAGCAAATATCTTCTGGAAACTAATCCCAGGGGAAATAGGGATGAATTCGGTGATGAATACGAGAAGAGTGATATTTGATTTGTATACAGAAGTATCGTAATATATGGCTTCTAAACAGGGTGAGAATAGTTCATATTGGTCTAGGCGGAACAGAAGAAGCTTTCGCTTGAAGGGCTTTCGTATCTAGTAGCAGTGAATCACCAATGCCTTCAGGTTGGAACCTAGGTGTACTAACGATAAAATAGGGAAAGGAAAACAAATTTGGTTAACCATAGTAAGATACTGTCCTTAGTCCTTAAGAATATGTCAAGTTTTCTGTTAAACTACTCTTGGGATGTCGCTTGCAATAGCTCATCCGGCAGTGAATTCCGGCATTTGACAACTCTTAAGGAGTAGATGTTGTGTCTAAAGCCCGTTCTGCCGTGTTGTGTCTCCAGTTTCTTAGTGTTTCTCTTTAGATTTGAGTTGGGACTAAGCTTACGCAGGTTTTTAAAAGGATCCCCAGAGGTGTTAAAGATGCTGTAAGTCATAACGTCACCTGTAAGACGCTTAAGTTTGAGTCCATGAACTGATTTTGTGACTTGCCGTTGGATACACTCCAGAGTGTTTTTATCCTTTTGGAGTGAGAGAGGAAATACTATGTTTCTGTACTCTAAATGTGAACAAATAAAACTGTTGAAGATTATGTGGAAAGTTCTTCCATCGAACTGTCCGAAAACGCGCCTCAATGTTGCCAGTGCAAGGTTTACTCGAAGGTATTTTTGTCACAGCGTTAGACTACCAATCATAGGGTATCAACACTCCTTGATCGTTTTCAACTCTGGATACCTTTAGAGGGGAGTTGCCTAAGTTGTAACTGTAGTCTGCAGCATGTTCCGGATGGACAGCTCTACACCTTGAAATGTTAAACATAAGTTTGTTGTCATCTGCCTAATTTTGAAGTCGAGTCAAATCCTTCTGAAGTGCCAGTTTATCCTCTTGGTTGCGTATATCTCTCCAGAGTTTTAAGTCATCAGAAAAAAATAAATCTGACAATACTTGCTGAGGAAGATCGTCTACGAAAATCAAGAGGAGAACAGGTCCTGGTACTGAACCCTGGGGGACTCCACTAGGACATTCCATAGCCTGAGAGAAGTTGAAGTTAACCCTAACTTTAAAATGTCGATTTTTCAGATATGAAGTGAGCCAATCAATTAAAGGTGATTTGATACCTAATCATTGAGTTTATTGATTAGACATATGTGGTTGGCTTTATCAAAAGCCTTTGAGAATTCAAGGTATATGATGTCAACCTTCCCCTTGCGATCAAGGATGGTCGTCTGTCTGCCCACCACGGACAGCAGGTTCGTTATACAAGAGTGACCTTTTATGAAACCACAGTGTTAGGGTGAAAAGAAGTTTATGAATAAGGGTAGGAAATATATATCCCGGTACCTTTGAAACTTGATTTGGTGCGGTTGCTTAAGTAAGATCCTTTAGCTAGTTTAGTCATATTAGAACTACATCCACCTAGTGATCCAATCTGTCATATATCCAATGCAGCCATTAAACATCTATTAAATCAACATTCGATAATAATGTCGAGTCCTTTAAGAAACTATTTATTTTGAGGTATTTTTAATCCCACACAAACCAGACAACCTTCAGATAATGTGATAACATTTGGTTTCGGAAACTCTACTACTATTGAATAAATGTATTCGTCTGTGCTCATGACATACCAAAACGCAAAAGACTAGAATGCAATAGGAGTAGGGTACCTGAGTTCCTCGCTTAATGCTTCCAAAGGCATTGATTAGTACTTTAAAACCGAGATATGGACTCCGAGAAATCAAAAGGTTTGTGCAAGCTATTAAGAAAGATCCTGGATATTGGTATAGCCAATGATACAAAGATTTGGAGACCTATACACAATATATCAGATAGAATAGTATTACAGGATGATCTGAACTCATTAGTGGCATGGATAGACGGATGGTCAGTAGAAGTAAACATTACAACAGTGTGGAGATGCAATTAAAAAACTGTGACGAGTCGCAATACCACACAATATGTGGATTCGCGTTACTCAGGTTAAGAAACTAACGATTTAGGAGTCATTATAAACAGTGATCTCAAAACTACTAGTAATTGTAAGGTTGCTCCTGCAAAAGGCTATAGGGTATTATGGGAAATTCATAGGTAGTTTCAGTATTTTGACAGAGTAATGTCTACATTATTATACCTGCACTTCGTGCGACCGCATTTGGAATATGGGATTCAAGCAGTAAGTCCTTGTTTCAAGTATGAGGCAGGTATTCTAAACCGAGTTCAACGATAAGGGACTAAAATAGTCAAAGGTCTCTCTGGCCTATCTTATGGAAGCAGTCTGCGACGTCCCAACCTATTTCAATTATCTTACCTCAGATTACGATGTGATCTAATATTGGTTTATCGTATACTGAACGATGACCTAGGTAATAATATGTCTTATCTTTTCCTTCTGTCTAGGACTGGTAATATGGGAGAACATTCGAAGACAGTTCAAAAGCCGAGATCAAATAATCTACGTCTAGAGTTTCTTTTCTCGCACTGAGTAGTGAATTACTGGAATTCTCTTCCAGAACATGTAATATAAGCACCTTCTGTTGATATATTCAAAACAACATTGGACCTTCACAGTTTTACAAACTGCAGGGATTAATATAGGTCGATAGACCTCTGTACCTATATTTATTACTGAAGACTGATGATAGAGATATTGAACCTCGATGAGTAAAGTTTGTCAAAGCGCCCGGACCGAAAGTTATGAGGGGTTATGGTTTTCAGGCTTGACCCATGTGGTATAGCATGTGTTTTGATAACTCACTTGCTTGTATTATACTCGGATTATGTCGTGGTATTTTACTTAGTTCTTCCGGTTCTCAAAAACAGGTGATGGTATTCGTTTCACTTTAAATCATTTTTATTAGCTGTTACTAAAGTGTTCTTGTCCCAATATTTCCAAGGATTTGAATTTATTATAATTAGCAACCAGTAAACAGTAGCTTTTGAATGATATCTCGCGCACCTGAGACTTAAGAGCTGAGAAAACTTGTCATGACTGCTTAGTACTGATTAGCCGACCAAGTAAAAAGTAGACAGTCCGGTGCTTATTTAGATGAAAAATAGAGCACTGAGTGACAGTTCAAACATTAAGTGATGTAAGGAGGAAATTTTAGACAGGGTTTTTAGAAGGTAAAACAATCAAGTGTTCCTACTAAAGTGTTCATTTGCTCTTATCCACCCAATAAGATTACCTTCTGTCACAACTTCCATGTGGTAAATAAATACTTTTAAACTCACTTTCTGTCTTTTAGTTTCAGTTAAAAGATTAACACAAGTTTCGCTGTTTCATCCATGCCCTGTATTGAAAACCACTTGTAAGGCTAATGTTCTGCACCAGGGTCAAAATTGCAAGCGAACTGTGGTTACAACATTCTAGGTCTCTTAAATAACGTACTAGATTGCCTCTTTCCTTTTTTCTACTTTCGATCGACAGAACCTTGTTCTTCCAATCTTTATATCTGCCAGATTTGTCAGACTGAGAATTCACTAAGTTTAAAAATATGCGAGACCTCTGACGTAGCCTCTCGTCATTGGAAAAGAAGGAATGAACCAAAATTCAACCTGCCCAGATACCACAAATACTTCACAAAACTGAACGGCCAACTTATATCTTTTATGATCACTTTCCTAATACCATTGCAGCACGTGGCCTCGGCATACTGTTAACAGGAAGATTAGACTAACGTAATTATAAGGTAGATGTGGGAACAGACAGCGCTACTTCCTATTTCTTCCGTGGAAAACTTGTTATGCTCGTCATGGAACGTTCTTTATATGTATGCAACCCCACTTCTAAAACCACAGTAATGTTTCACTTCCTACGATAAAACGAGTCTTTCTGTCAAAGTTCGAAGGCATTTAATGATAGAGATTCTAAGGTTGAGACTATAATTTATGGACGACCTTTGAGCGACGCTAAACAGACCTTGAGAATATCCCCCTACATACTACGGTTAAATGAGGATTATAAACCAATGTGAGGAATTAGGATTAATATTTGCAGTTGATAGTTAGGGTTAGGAATTGGATATAGTGTTTTCATCACCATATGACATCAGCTATAATGTCGAAACTATTTAGTCAAATGAATGAATTGATTTCACGCCAAAATTCAAGACCGGTTATCGTAAATCTTGACATTCTAAGCCTTGAACCAATGACATACGGGGATTGGCTCTAAGAGTTAGGATGGTTTTCTCTTAGTTATGGAAAAGGAGTAGCCTTATCACTCTTATATTATGTAGTCCAACTACTCCAGTAAGCTAATATTACAATAAAGGGGCATTGTGATCCACGAAGTTTCGGCAAAAACACCTATCAGAGGTAAAACACAGGCGATTTGCTACTCTTGCCCACTACGCATGTGTTCTTTGTAGAACTCCGTCCTACCGATCTAACTGGTCTCTCCAATTGACAATTTCAGACGAATACCAATCGGTCGCGTGAAAATTCATGGACTGCTCTTCATTGACTAAAAAAATAAGTAACACTATTAAACACTTTTAAATCCAACTCTTTGGTTTAATTTCCTCTTGCATTGCAGTTTAATGTCTTTCACTTTTTCATCCTCTCACCTGCATATTATCTTCATTATGGTTTGAATTTATCTCCCCATTATTTTGGATTGTTTAAATTTTGTTTTCTATCGTACTTCACACCTTATCGTCCTGGTTTAATACGACCAACCAAACCAATGCCGAGTGGTGTGACAGCCACTAGTCGCAGCAACTATCATTTATTAAAAAAACGAGTGACAAAACATCGAACTCTAAATGGCTTGTTTCTGGAACTTGCAGCCGAGTAGCTCGAGAAGCTACAGCAGACACCCAAAGATTTAGAGTTACTTTTCCCTGGTATCAAGAAGGAAACTGTAAAATCAACTGGTTTATATATATAATATGACTTAAAATTTCAAAACTATAGTCATGGAAAAGTCTTTGCGAATATTTCAGATATAAGTCCAATATAGTTGTCCGCTTCTACCTCATATTTCAATAACAATAAACATCAATCCATCTATATTAAGTAGCTATTGGATTTGGAATATGTCAACTACCATATATGTATATTTTAGTAATTGTTAGTACTATTATTAGCTGTACTCATTCACTACAAGACTATTCCACTGACTTAACCAGTCTGATTTAAAGTATGTCCCGAAGATGTTTTCTTATTCGACTGCGATATAATAGCTGAAAATTTTCTGATTTTGCGCAGTTAAATCATTTGTTTGATATGATTTGTGTATGGGTAAATTACTCAGAATGTGATTCATCGTAATGATTGCTTTCATTTTTCAAAGAGCAAGTTCTCAACCCCCTTTTCTACCATTTGCCATTTCTTTACAGCTTTTGGGCTATTCTGAATACGATATGCTTTAATATAGTGGCCTCTTTACTATTATTTTCTCATATATGTGCTGCCGTAACGGATCCAGGACTGATACCTTTGCACCGGTATACTGTTAGTCAGTTAGCTAGTGTCCAGGTAATATCTCCTCTTTTACATACAGTTTTCTGAATATTTTGTCGTGTAAGGTTATCAAACTTGATGGTTTTAAGAGTACAGGATGTAATAAAAACTCACCTAGCTTTGTCCACTTATTGTAAACGGGCCAGTATCACCCATTCACCAAGTTTAAATGACAGTTTTAAGTAAATTTCACCACAATTAAGAAACACCCTAACTGATACTTCAGTAAGTTATCTAAATAACTTTATAGTTAGAAAATGTGATCGGTTGACTAGTAGGGGAAAGTGAACCTTTAAGTCTATTCAAAGATGATTTTCTTTGCAGAATAATAACAGTTGGTAAAATTCTGAAAACCGCAAATCATTGTGCAGCTCTTCTTAGTTTAGGACACCTCAGCGCTACTCACTCACTACTTCGTTCAAGATTGAGTCGAAAACCTCTAGGTGTTAAAGCACACAATACCATCCAATCAACTGGTTGAAATCCACTGATCTCGGTTTTCAGCTTTAACCGTTTTACTATATCGCTCAATTTCGATCCAATAGCATAGATAGATAAACACATCATTCTTGTTTTGGTCACAGCTTTTGATTAGAATTTGAAGATTCATCTCAAAGCACTCACCAGTAGTAGTCATACTATTACCATTAATATGTGTAACTTGTGGAGATATGGATATTTTGAAGGTATATTTTCGCTGCAATATGTTATTAAATAAAAAACGACTTCTATTAGTTCATAACAGAAATGATCAAACTAAATAGATGTCTGCAAGCAATTTAAGTGGGTTTCTTATGCAACAGTTCTATAACATTATCAGTGCTTTAAGTTAGAATTTAGTCTTTACTTGTATCCAGCACACCTATTACGTGATAAAACTGTCAGGGAACGATGATGCTTTATTTTTTTCAGTTGATTTTGATGAACTCATTCAGCTATCGATTCATACATAACTTGTATGCTTAATCTGTCCTATTACCACTAATGTAAACGCGACACTGACGACCCAGAGTCTATGTGAAACGTATTGCAAGAACAAAGACAATTTGGCTTTAAACTTTATCTATTTCTGAATGTAAAAACAATTCAATTAGTACAATAATTAAAGGAATTATACTCACTAAGTGAAACGCACAAATATGCCGACCAGTGTCGCGTGTCTTATCGAAATGAATAAAAAATATGAATTACAGTCACACTAATACGATATGACAACAATGTCCTTCAATTGACAGGTCACATGCAACAGGAATAGTCTACAGACACGTCAAACCAGGTTGACGTGGTGGTGTTTGAGCAGCGATTTGATTGGTTGGTTACGGACATTACTAGTACTAATAATACATTACTTTTGGTACTCTAGGATATGCTCTGATAATTTCATCTACGTTAATGGAGTGTGACAACTTGGAGTGAAACATGCATGTCCAGGTTCTACATCGCATCTGACTGACTTACGGCTTACTGGTATAATTTACATCTTTGTTTTTGAAATTGATATCCCCACTTTTTTAAACGTTATATACAGAAACCTGATGGATGGACTACTTGTAATAAATGTGGAATACATAGGCCCCCGAGAGCTCATCATTGCCGGATTTGTCGACGGTGTGTAAGACGAATGGATCACCATTGTCCCTGGTTAGTGATATATGTATGTATTTAGACAAACGTTTGTTCATTTTATACACCGTGCTTTTTAGAAAAATATTTTCCCCAGTTGTATCATAAGTATTTTTCATTCTTTTATGCGGAGTTTGATGAATTGGACGGTTCAATACTAAAGCTTTCATTGTCCTTCTAAAAAATGTCAACAGAGATTGTAGTGTCTGATCATGCAGCTCGGCAAACATGACATTACCAATAACACCCATCAGAGTTCACTTAGTCAGACATACACAACGTAAATTTTGGAACATCTGCACCGGTTTGATTTATCACACAACATCGGCACAGCGAAATGTCAGTATGATATAGTTAGTAACGGTATTAGTGGTGTCATTATCAAGGTTTAACTTAACACCTGCAACGACCCATTGGATCACACAAAATTAAAACATTCTATAAACGAACAATAAACACTTCGAAATGATTTAGTTCAAATAAAAGCTAAAATTCCTATAATTTTGGCACAGAATTGTGTCCATAGACTAGCGTGTCCAGACTGTGATGCATCACATATTAGGGAGTTTTCTCGTTAAATCACGACTCGTGCCAAAGAACATTTAATACACTAAAAGAACGATCTGAAGTAATAATTTTTTGGGGTGTGAAATTGTCTCCATTACCCTTAGATTAATGAAAAACGTTATATAGAGAGCCTACTTTCTGGTGAATAGAAACTGTCAACTTCAATAGTGTCACTTTACAAATCTTGTTGCTGCAGTAAAGTCATTTTACATGTCTATATCAAGCACTAAGGTGGAGAATATGTTTCGAGAGATGTTCGTTGGCGTTGGGTTTTTAACGGAAAAAGAGTTCGCCAAACAATTTACAGTTTATGGGAATCAAACTTTGTTGTTTTGTCAACTGAGATACCCATCGGGAAGAGAATAACTTTTATATTAAATATATGTGCAGAAATGAAAGGAAATCGGCAGCGGCTGACAAAATCTCCATCTACACAAATACATGTCTTTCGAAACATCCTATATAAGTTAGGAAAGCTATTGGTTGTGGATATTGGTCTTCTCATGTTCGTCTGGTAGATGGATTGTTTACAGTAACCAGATGATCAATGGCTCATAACCATGGTTTCTGATGTGTTGCTCATGAGAGAAGCTCATGGTTGGTTCGTTTGACGGAAGATCAAATAAAGCTCACTCTCCCTTTACTTTTGTCTGGAGCTGCACTCTTCGTTGTTATAGACTTTCTTTACGAGACCCACGTTAACCGAATCACAAAACCGGATGTCTGCAGTATGAGCCGCTGTGTGTCTCATCAATCAAGACTTATAGGTTTCTTTCATTTTTCTCTTAATTTTGAATTAACAGTCAGTCTTCAAACGTTTGGAGCATATTTCGTCCAGCTGGGAGGCAAAGCCTAGGTGCAGCTTGACGTACGCAGTCAATTCCATTGCTACTTTTTCTGCACACATCTGTAAAACGACATATTACATTCTTCTGGTCACATGATAAAACCACCAATCAGAATCCCGATTTCTATGACTTAATATCTCTGATTGGGCCAATTACACTTCCAGCCATCACCAGTAACCTTGAATGCTGAATTCGCTCTGGTGCTTTATTCTCCAGCCCAAAAGTCAGCAACTAGGCTCCACCGTATATATATTTCGAACCTACTTACTTACTTCCGCCTATTATCCCTCGTGGAGGAGCATAGGCCGCTCACATGAACTATCCATCCAACCCTGTCCTGGACAATTCTTTCCAGTTGCTATTCATCCTTGTCATGTCTGCTTCCAATTCTTGATGTAGTGTGTTCTTTGACCTTCCTATTTTCTGTTTCCCTCCAGGATGACAAGCTAGGGCTTACCTTGTGATGCAGTTTGGTAGTTTCTGTAATGTATATCTTATCCACTTCCAACGTCTTTTCCTGATTTCCCCTTCAGCTGGAAGCTGGTTTGTCCTCTCCCACAATAGGCGGTTGTTGATGGTATCCGGCCAACGGATATTGAGTATCTTGCGTAGACAACTGTTTATAAATACTTGTACCTTTTAGATGATGGCTGTATTGGTTTTCCACGTCTCATCTCCGTACAGTAGCATTGTCTTGACGCTCGTATTGAAGATTTTGACTTTAATGCTGGTTGACATATATGTTTTTCAACTGTAGGAATGCGGTCCTTGCTTTGCCAATCCTCGCTTTTACGTCTGCATCGGGTCTTCCTTGTTTATCGATGATTCTTTTCAAGTACGTGAAATATTCCACATCTTCCAGAGCTTCTCCATCAAGTGTCATTGGGTTGGTGTTCTCTGTGTTGTATTTGAGGATCTTACTTTTCCTTTTGTGTATGTTGAGGCCTAGTAATGCAGAGGCTGCTGCTACACTAGTTGTGTTCACCAGCATTTGTTCGTGTGTATGGGATGGAAGGAGGACTAGGTCATCTGCGAAGTCCAAATCTTCTAATTGATTGCAAGCTATCCGTTGTATTACGTGCTTTCCCTCTGATGTCGAGGTCTTCATAATCCAATTGACCACCAGAAGAAAGAGGTAGAGGGAGAGTAAGCAACCTTGTCTGACTCCGGTCCTCACTTGGAATGCATCAGACAAATCAGGAGCGGGAAAGCATCAGTACCTGACAATATATCAGCTGAAACACGGAAGTCAGACATTGAAGTAACTACAAACATGCTTCATGTTACGTCCTTGATCTGTCTACCCACTTCGTGCAGAGGATAACATGTCTAATCTAGAATAAGACCTTGACGAGGTAGGCTGACTGGCTTAATCTTGAGGCTAGTATGCGTGGGTTTTGACTGGGGTAAAAGAAGATAACTATTCTATCAGATTGGCTGACAAGCACGCGAGTGAGAGAAGACAAGCCAACTGGAACACTACTCGATCTATTCTATAGCTAGCAATATTCTTTTGAGATGTTAGGCGGAAGGCGTTTTTCTTTTGTCAAAATGTGAGATATTTCCTGGTGTATACGAGAAGACTTTCTGATAGTTGTTCGAATTGACCTCCGAGATTGTGACCGATTTCTAAATGGTTTTGTTTGTAAATTAAGATCCAATCCTTCACTAAATGAATAATCTCTTGGTTATTTTGAGTGTTCTGTTTAAGACTGTAAACTAGTTATTTGAGTCATTTATTCATCAAATAATTTCCATTTAACTAAGACCTATTAAATCATTTATTGGATTAGGATGCTTTCAAACTGTTCCATGAAATCGTCTTTCTTTTTTTCTTTCTTCTTCATTACTGGCTTATATCATTCACGTTCAAGTGTATTGTAAATATTAACAAATTAAATTACTGATCAAGATGATTGATTTGCTGTTATGTGTAACCTATTTACTTTCTTCTTTTTATTCAACATTACAGGATTAATAATTGTGTTGGTGAATGTAATCAAAAATATTTTATTCAATTTTTAATTTATGTCGGTAAGTTTCTAATACGAATGTTAGATCTTTAAAATTGTGGTCTACTTTTTATTTACATGAATTGCATATTGTATATTGTTGTTGTTGGTGGAGTTTTGTTCTCTGAGCTAGATGGTTTGATCGTGGAGCTTCCATCGTTCTTCTGAACGACATCATCCACCTGAGCTACAAATCTTCTCCACCATCTCAATATTGTTGTTGTTTTTTGTCATGAACTGTTTATTCATGCATTCAAATGTAAATATAGAAAATTTATTATTAAATAGTTGAATGCATGAGTCAATCTAAGGTAGATTACCATTGAAAATCTGGAAGCATTGAACAACCGTTACATCCTAGTATGGAACACTTCAAGAGTGTACATTGAAAATCTTGTTTAGATTGATTCATGGATTTAACTATTAAAATTACTACAATTGTCACAAATCTCCATTCTGGAAATTCAGTATTATCAATTTATTTCTTGTTAGTCTAGAAAAAATAATCGAATTAGACTTAATTTTTAAGCCCCCAAATGCCCTGGTATAGCCGAGAGTGGGATGGGCCCGCCCCCTCTCGAAATGCTCTCACATGGTCACGCGTATACAGCCTCTGCCAGGGAAGTCCTACTCGCTGCCTTCTCGTGGCAGGGGTGTTGTTTAGGAAATTGAGAGGACGAAAAGTGAACGTCCGGCGCTTTAACGGATCCCAAACCAATGGTGCACATGGGCTCCAGTATCCTGCAGGAACAAATGGGGTATGAACCAATCGTTGGTCACCGGCTACCATGAGACTGCATCTCCTCACGATGTTCCACTGCCTTGTGGATCAGACCTTTAGGTCAAACGCTCAGGGTGTGACCCTCTAAGAAAACCACCTGCTTTGTTCTGGGCACCCAGGCAGTATCATAGCTCACACACAAATGTACTGATAATGAAAATGTGTGGCACATGTGTATTTGGTGCCCTCTTGTACCAATATTTATGTGTTCAAATAAAATAAAATAATATAATTTTTAAGCAAAAATCAATATTTTTCATGATCTCACACACATGGAATACATTTCTTACCAATGACTGTTAAGCCTGCTTGTTTAAGTTGTATTAATTAATTTTCGAATGTAAACTAAACACATATTGTATACTGATTACTGTCCGTATTTTGTTTGTGTAACGTAACAAATTTAATTGTGATGGGCCTGCATTTTTATTAAAGATTATGATTTAGTTACGTGAAATATCACTTGTAAGTAATAGGTGATTTAAGTAGCTACATGTGTTGAGTAGCTCACTTATTCTGGAAGACTCATCAGTCCTCGTTCCGTGGTGCCTGACGAAATGTCCGCACAGACTCAGGTGTTCGAATTGCTTTCATCAACTTACGTCATTTGTGGCCTAGACGAAATCTCAATCACTCCCAATCAACTCAACAGTCTACCTGCATTAACATTACTCTATGATTGTAAATCATGCTTTGTAGAAATAGTAGACAAGTGTAAACTGCACTTTTCAATCATAGGTATTTTCGAAGTATTGTTCGTGCTTCGTGCAACGATCGAGTGATGATCAGTGTTGAGAATAGAGGACAGGTAGGTAGGTATCTAATGAAGAAGGGAAGTCGATTGATGAGATAGTGAATCTTCATAGACTGATATTGTTGAGACAAGTGTTACATATACCAAACCATTACCCAGCTCGACATTTAATGATTGGATAATATAGGAAGAATTTTAGAAGAAACTAAATTTGAGTCCTAGACGTGGTACACGGTAATGACTTGAGGTATCGTCAGATATGAAGCAGAACAGAAATCAATGATGATCCTACATTAATTTCATTTAATTTTGTCGAATTGAGAGGTTCATGCTTAACTACGAGAAATCTCCGGTTGCATTTTTAACTGAATCGCATATCCTATCATACACTGTTCTTGTCCATTAAATATATATATATATATATATGAATGCATTCCACCCCCCTCCTATTTCTTCACAACGGTTGTGTATCTCCAGTTTTGAAGAAACGAATATTTTGTGTATAATTTTATTAAGGAATGACTAAGGAACGAAGTATGAAATGATAGTTTTGTGATTAAATCAGTCAATTAGGCTGTATGTCCAAGTCACATCACACCTACCCGGTCAACCGAATTTTTATCTCTAACACCATAATAACGAAATGGCTCACAACCGACTACTTTAGTCTGTACATGCTGACTGATTAATTAACTACATTTTTATTAAGAAAGAATATGTTATATTTTTTGTGTATTCTGATTTCAGGCATTCTTTGTGTATATGCTCTGATACTGGTACTTATATGTCGTGCTATGATCTCGGCGGTTTAAAAGAAGACGCGTCTAATGCCGATGTTGTAGTTGTGTAAGCAATGAATACTAAACTTTCTTATTAGTTACTGTCTTTCAATGTGTTTCTTTTTCATTGCCACTGTTATTGAATTTATAAACTGTAGATCACTGAAGTGGGCAAATTTTTATTAACAAGCTGAATGAATACGGATAATGCTAGGCGGACTTCACAAAACGCTAAAATGTTTCCCTAACTAATTTATTGATATGCATCATTTACTAATAAAATTCTCAAGTACTCACTGTATTCATCATTGTTAAAAATGTAATTTGATCAATGAGATAAGTTCAACTTTTGTACAAATTTTTTTTTCCTTTGTGTAACTATAAATCAACTTTGTCTGTCGTAATTTACATTACCAACGTTGGATTAGCGTCTGTTTACTTTAATCTGTGGGAATAATGATATTTTGATGTGATTAAGTTTATTACGTGGTTGTGATTAATACTTCTTGACTGACTATATACTTATGTGTAGCCCAAATTTATTTTGAATTGTTTACGGATTAACTAACTTAATTAGTTTTAAAATACAATAATTTTAATGTTATATATATATATATATATATATATATATATATATATATATATATATATATATATATATATAAAGTAAGGTTCACTCTACAGTGTCAGTCTTTTTATATCCTTCACATACGTTTATGTCAGTTCAGAAATCATTCAATTATGCACAACGTAGAACTTGACACATATGCATCAGTTCAAGTTATTATATCACTTAAGCACAGCGAGATTATGTTATCAAGTTAAATTCCACGGTAGTAGAAGTAGTAATAAAAAAGATTGGGCATAAAAAAAGAAAAAAAAAGAAGGTATAAGGAGATTTAGGGGGTAAGATTCTAGAGGAAAACGATCAGTGAATATGTCTGCTTCATTGTGAATGATTCTGAATCATGTCACCCAAGTTCTCTAACCATTGATTACGATAATCCTACGGACCCTACGTGGTTTAATCCAACTATCAACGACTTTATAGACTGGTGCCACGTCTTGGTTTATTCCGATAAAGTGGAATAAAAATGCGATTTTTCATGCTTATTAAACAGTCAATTTGAATAAACTTAAACCACTAAACAACTTATTTTATGAATTGTTTCCTAAGACTGTTTTCCTAAAATATTTTAAAATTATTTCATTTCTAGTCTTTGTTTTACGTGTATTTATAGATAATCTCGGAGGTAGGAGGTTTAATGAAAAACATAGTTTGCCCATTTCTGCTATCGAGTTTTTAAAAAAATTTACTTGGTAATTAGTTGGAATAGTTTCGGAAATTAATATGAAAGATACATATCGTGTAAATTACTTACAGTTAATCTAAGCTTTGAATCACACCTTTCTAGCTTATTGATTCTCCGCATTTATGCATGACAACAATTATCTGATCAAAAGTATGATATTAGTATGGGAAATGGAGGGTGTTGAATTTTATAGTTGGATTTACCTTAGTTAGATCAATCATTGGATATCAGGAAACAATAGACAGTTTTTTGTCCTATTATTGGTATTCCTCAACAGTGCCTACTCACGACCTCACCATTGATTATTGATTAAAACTAAAACCATTCAGGTTTCATAGCGAACGCTTAACCTTTAAACCATTGAGCCAGTATTCAATCGTTAGTACTTCTACCTTTAATCAATTCGCCAGTTACAGATAGCGCACACACATACGCATACAGTTGGACATTCAGGACATCATTTTTGTTATCTACCAAGGGTATACTTAGAAGAGATTATCGATGGAACACTTGATATTTAGTATTAATGCGATATATATATATATATATATATATACTCCGTTTGAAAATTTATGGTATATTTTCTTTTCTTACTATTTTGTTTGTTTGTTCTTTGTATTCAGTGCTCATACAATTGTACTTGTAGCAATCTCTTGTCTATTTGGATTATTTATTCTAGCTATTCTATCTGATCAGGTAATTGAAATAATGAATTGTATAATATGAAAATATGTTAATGTTATTAGTATTTACCTTTTTTTGTAAAAAACAGTAGAAAACTTAATGGACATTCTGTTGGAGACAACATCAGAGCCTTGCATAAATATATGCTAACCCACGTCGGCATACAGAAGCGACGATAACACAACAAGGTAAATATCAAACTAATCAAGTTAACTGCAGCACAAATAATAGTAAGAAAGGTTAAATATTAGGGATTCATCTCGAGAAGAAGTTATGTATGAAAAAGTAGTAGAACTGAAGATCTTCCCCTAAATGCCATGGTATATCCGAGAGTGGGTTGGAAAGGTTCGCTCTCTCTCTCTTTCTCTGTCTCGAAATGCTCCTACATGGCCACGCGTATACAACCACTGCCAGGGAAGTCCTACTCACTGCGTTCTCGTGGCGAGGGTATTGTTTAAGAAATTGAGAGGACGAAAAGCGAATGTCCGGCACTGGCTTTAACAGGGTTGTTGGATATGGAAGATTCACTTAGTGGAGTTGGAAAACCCTGATTCCAAACCAATGGTGCATATGCGCTTCATGATCCTAAGGGAATAAGTGGCGTATGAACCTATTGTTAGTCACAGACTACTATGGGACTGCATCTCCTTACGTTGTTGCACTGCCTTATGGATTAGACCTCTAGGTCAGAGGTTTAGGACGTGAGGCCTCCTAAGAAAACCACCTTCTTCGGTTTGGGCTTCCATACAGTACCCCAGCCCACGCAAATCGGATAATCACTACAACTCGAGAAGTTATTCTTGCTTCAATACTCATTTTCACAAATTATACTTACAACTATTCCGTTACATCCATTTTTATTTATGTTGCATCACTTGTCTATTTCCTTTATATATATTTTGGTGTCCCTCTTTACCAATATTTATGTATTTAATAAGTAAATAAAGTGCTCAAAATCTAAAGAGAGATAAAGAGTGAATGGATCTGTGCCATTGTGATCAATTTTAATCGATGTAACTCACCTTCCCTAACCATTGGTCGAAGTTACGAGGTAAATCCTAACCAAATAGTCTCCATCTACCAATGTGATTTAGTTCAGTGGTATATAATTTCATTAACTGACTGGTACAACGTTTTGGTTTGTGCATTCTTAGTCATTTTACAAACTATTCCTATATTATCCAATTATTACACATCGAGCTGGGTAATGGTTTGGTGTATATAACACTTATCTCAACAATATCAGTCTATGAAGATTCACTATCTCATCAATCGACTTCCCTTCTTCATTAGATACCTACCTACCTGTCCTCTATTCTCAACACTGATCATCACTCGATCGTTGCACGAAGCACGAACAATACTTCGAAAATACCTATGATTGGAAAAGTGCAGTTTACACTTGTCTACTATTTCTACAAAGCATGATTTACAATCATAGAGTAATGTTAATGCAGGTAGACTGTTGAGTTGATTGGGAGTGATTGAGATTTCGCCTAGGCCACAAATGACGTAAGTTGATGAAAGCAATTCGAACACCTGAGTCTGTGCGGACATTTCGTCAGGCACCACGGAACGAGGACTGATGAGTCTTCCAGAATAAGTGAGCTACTCAACACATGTAGCTACTTAAATCTTTATAACCAATCTAGGTATTGAATTATCATTAGTCTGTGTGTACGGTTCAGCAGTTTGAGCCTTCGACACAACATCCAGATCTTTAAGTTTCGTTCTTCGATTTGTATGATAGACTAGTTTACTGATTTATCGGACGACGATAACAGTATAATGTGTTGAATCGATTGCTGCTTATCTAGGTAGCTAGTTTGCTTGGTCGATGAGGCACATACTTAATACTGCTTATTCAATATGCCAATCTGGTCATCGATCTGTGTCTGCACGAAGTTTTATTGCTTTCTATATCAACGTTTCAATCCATATCATTAGGCTAGTTTATAAATTCAATGGCCATAAACACTGTCCTTAATATACATTCACTATATATTGAACTAAAATAAGATCTAGCTTCAATTCTCTCTACTTGGTTGCCGTAATTCCCACAGTCTTAACACCGACTAATCAGAAATACAATCTTCCCACGATGATTTAATGATAAAGACTTATAAATATTGATCTTTGCAAACAACGTCTACCTATTAAATTACTTAAAACAACTGTCTACCAAAAGAAAGACGTCGTCTCCAAACGCGGTATGGATGTGTTATATGTCTCCTTTATTGTTGTAGGGTGGGTGAGTACTACAAAGCAAACTAACAATAGATTCAACTTCACAAAACTATTAAAAAATAATCATTGAATTTTCTAACTCTATTTTTGACAATATAAACAATATTACTTTCTTTCTAGAAAGGATTTCTGATCTTAATATCGTAACATTCCATTTCAACATAAATCGATCCTTCCAGTTGAAATACTTGATTGTTAGAAAAAATATCAAAACTTTTATTTTAAAGTTTACCTTGTGTACAATAAAATGTATTTTGACATATGATTTCGGAAAAATCTCGTGTATATGTATTTTTCCAGGTTATTTGAAAACATAAACATTGGTACAAGGATGCACCATATAAATCATTCGATTTTTGTGAGGGTTGGGATACTGCCTTCGGCACAGTCATCGCCGATGTGCCACCTGGCGTCCTCCCTCTGCGTCTCAAGCCTAGACTCAGATTGATTACATCGCGATCAGCTACCGCTGGCGTGGTTGTGTACAACACTGCCGCTCCTTTTGAAGTACCTATCTGGACTCTGATCATGCCCTGGTCTGCGCCAATCTTGCCTTACTTTTCAGTGGCCAACAAAGTGACCGCCACCAACGGATTGATGTCAGCAAGTTGGTTGCAACTTCTGTTGCAAGTAAGTATCGAACCGAGCTAGCCTCTAGGCTAGCTACCACTCCACCGAAAAGTATAGATGAGCGTTGGTTGCAATTGCTTGGCGCCATGAAAATGGCAGGTACAATCAGTTGTGGGTTTGCGAAACGTCCCGCTTTTAAGCACTGGGTTTCTGCAGGTTCCTTACAACTCATTGAAGCCCGTCGGTCTACTCCGGGTGACCGTGAGTTTGATCATAAACGAAGGATGTTACGTAATGAAATTGGGCAAAGCTTACGTAAGGACCGAGAAGCCTGGTGGTCGAAGCATGCTAATGAACTGGAAGCAGCAGCTGCATCTGGTAATTACCGGAAGCTCTTCCAACTCATCCGAACCACTGGCAGCAAGAAGTCTGGTGTGAGTGAAACAATCTGCGAGGATGATGGGATGCCAATCACTAACATCCATCGACGTCTTGGACGATGGGCAGAATTTTTCCAAGGGCAGTTCAACTGGCCTGCTACTCCGGCAACATCGGTCAGACTGTCCTGCCCTTCATGGTCGGTGATGACTGATCCACCAAATGAGGTGGAAGTCCGCAAGGAACTCCAACTCTTGAAGCGTTACAAATCACTGGGCCCAGATAACTTACCTCCGGCTCTTTTTAAAGATGGTGGTGACTTTCTGACTAAGGAACTGACTGTGTTGTTTTCAAAGGCCTGGGAACCATAGTGTACTAACGTCATGGAATGAGTCGATAGTTGTCCCTATCCTTAAAAAGGGTTCACGTCGTTCCTGTAACAACTATCTTGGGATAGGTCTACTTCCGATTGCGTCCAAGCCATTGGCTTCCGTCATACTTCGTAGGTTGTCCCAAAGAATTCCAAGTCGTGCATTATTTGCCGACTCTGGGACTGGTTGGAAAAAGCGGAGAGGTGGCCAGTGTATGACATGGTGTCGTGGTATGAAAAAAGCTACAAAGGACTGGCTTATGTCGGTCCTTCACGACTCCCAGGTTGGGGTCTGAGAGATGGTGCTACACAGTGGCTAGAGACGTTATCAGATATGGCTCGGAATATAAACCAGTAGCGATCCTGCTGTAACCTTCTTTTACGTTCTTCATGAAAAGTGGTTTTATCTTTCTTAACTGAAAGATTTCCTCTGGTTGTACCTTTCCGTTTCCCCCATAATAATAATAATAATAATAATAATAATAATAATAATAATAATAATAATAATAATAATAATAATTATTATTATTATTATTATTATTATTATTATTATTATTAGTGCACTACTTTACACTTATCTGGTCGTTATTGTTCTTTTTTTCTTTTACGCCCCTTACTTTTTTCTTTTTCCTTCTCTTTAAATTCTCATTGTTTTGTGGGACGCATATATATTTGATGCCCTATTGTACCAATATTTATGTGTTCAAATAATAAATAAATAAGTGTATCAATTGAGTATTGAGTCGAATGATGGGAAAATCTCGATCACATTTAAATATGCCTTTCTCTTTTTTCCCTTACATAATCCTACTGAACTACAATATTGTTTATGAATCAGTACAAGTCGATCGTTGAAGATACAACAGCAGTTGAAGCTTGGCTATCGGGTAATATTCCACATTCTTCATCCGATACAGAAGCTTATCCAAATGGTGGTGGTAACGGTGGTGTTGGTAGTGGAGGATTTCGTCGTAAATTATCCAAATTGACTCTGTTTCGTGAGGTTTTTGGAAGTGGTCAGTAGTAATAAGTTATTATTACTTTTTTTTATTGCTTACAATTCATATCCATTCGAATAAAATCTTTTTTTTAAATCATTTACATAGAAATACTATGGTGTTTTGAATATGGTCTTTCATTTAGAAAAACACAAATTCATATCTAAGTTCACTTATTTTACTCACTGAACAAGTGCAATTTGTTTTGGCGAAATTACTGCGATCAACTTGTTCTCTTCAATCATTTGCATTCAGTAAAGTAGGTACCTAGGTGGAGAGGAATTTTTTGTGACTATCAATCAAATACCGTTGAGATTTCGAGGTCTGTTCTGATTCAAAACTTAACTATTTCAAGTTTTAAAAGAGTGGATTTAATTTATACAAGTTTCGATTATCCCATTCTTGATATTTTGAAATGTACTTTACATGCAGTTTATCTCGATGTTACACATTGTCACAAGTTTATCTAGAAGAGATAGGCTGTGATTAACAATAAAATCCAGGACTCGTATTTTGTCCTATTTGGAAATCATCAGTTGGATGTACCTGATTCTTAGAGTTGTTGATGTTCACTATATAAACTTTGAAATGCATATACATCCAGCTGATGAGTCCCAAATATGAAAATATGCACGTTTTGCACCAAACTTACTAGTCACATTCTATTTAAAATATCCGACTTTTCGGAAAATTTTATTCTCAAATTTAAATTACTATGCAGTTTTTCTGTTATATACAATTCAAACATCAAAGTGAATCCAATCATTTGTCCTACTGTTATTCATTTACCAAGTCCATGTTTATTGTTTACTTGACTTGTATTATAAAGGCTAGTGTTCATATACCACCTGCTAGACTGCCCAAACTGTCATATATTGCTTGAAAAATTAGTAATTTTTTAACCACAGGGTCACTTCTTCATTTGGTTAGATACAATTTTTGCCATATTGTTTGTTACACATTAAATTTATAACAATATGAACTGTAATTTTCCAAAACACTCCCCCATTAATAGTTACGTTTTAAGTATTTCTAGTCAGTCTACGAATCAACCATATTGGAATTGCTATCAGTGTGTAAAACTTCATATAGGTAGGAAAAAGTCATCAGAAAATGTTGTCCAAAATGGCATTACAACTATTCAGGAGAATTAGAAAATATTTCCCTTATAAACTGATTTGAAAAGATAGCACTGGTACATAACATTGAGAAGCAGAAGACATCGTAAATGAAATTAGATTATGATTCTAGATGCTAATCGATATCCTGTGCTTAGTTTACCAAACAGAATTTTAATTCTAATTACTTTTCTGGTCCACTGTCGTGAATGAGAACACCAGTGGGGACAATCAAATGTATTTTGATACAACATTACAGAATATCTTGGTAAAATCTGAGGACCATACAGTAAATACTTTATTTGCAAAATATCCGTCAATTGTCTCGGATTTTGTTATTCCTTGGGTTTTTTTATCAATCACTCTTTGTTCTCAACATCATCTCTTTGTTTTTCTCAACCTTCTGCTGCCCGGCATTCCACTTTCGACTGGTGACACATACTACTCATATCTGTCGACATCAGTAGCACACACCACACCGCTTCTACTATTCTTTCTATAATCTAACGTCCTTGACTTGACCGATTTTGTGTTCTGACAAACAAACACAACTAACCTTAAGCCAAATTAAGCTCCTCTATTATTGGTCTGCTATATTATCCTCAAGCTTTTTCTCTATCTCCTTCTTTGAATCTCAAGAAAAATCAGCAGTCAGTTTCTATCATATGTATATTTCAGTCACCCAACCCAACCTAAAACCATCTCAAACATGCATTAGTCTGTATACTCGAATTTTCAGATCACACAGCGCATAAAATAGGAAACCATACTTTGAACATAATCATGCCGTAAATGGTAGAGAGCGAAGCAAACAGTAACATAATGATTGATAACTATGGTATAGAAAGACGTATAATGACAATTAATTGGTCCACTCGAAGCTTACTATAAGGAAAATATTGATATACAATAATACAGTTACCTACTAAGTACACAATAAAATATAAGTAATAATAATCCGAAAAATAATTCTAATTTTTCTGATGCTCGTCCAGTTATAACAAATTACATATTTGGCCCCCAAATGCCTTAGTGCGGCCGAGGGTAGGGAGTCACCTCTCCCTCTCGAAATGCTCTCACATGACCACGCATTTACAGTCACTGTCAGAGAAGTCCTACTCACTACCTTCTCATAGGAAGAGTGTTATTTGCGAAATAGAGACAGGACGAAAACCGAATGTCCGGCGTTTTAACTGGGTTGGTGGACACGGAGATTCCACCTAGGGGAGTTGGAAAACCCTAATTCAAAAAACCAATGGTGCTTATCGGCTTCAGCATCCTGAAGAAACAAATGGCGTATGAACCAACTGTGGAGCATATGTATTCGGTGTTCCTTTGTACCAATATTTATGTGTTCAAATAAATAAATACATATTTATAAAAATCTCAGTAATTTAAATCATATATATATAGCTTCGACTTTTCATTTAACAGTCTGTCGTGTACTTTATTACATTACCTATGTCACACATTAGAAACCGATTATCTGATTTCATATAGATCTTTTTTTAAGATAAATAACCCTTTTATAGAAAAACGTCTGGTTAATTTGAACTTGTTTGACTGTAATTGTTTCTAGTTAAACTATAATCAATCCACTGATTTGATTACTTTCTAAGGTGTAGTCAATACTGTACAATAGTGCTTTTAATATAAGTGAATATTTCTTTTCTAATTCACATAATCGATTAATCTTAGTTAACGAATCACTGACAACCAGTAAGTACTGAACAGCTGTTTCGTCCCAATGTGGGTCTCCTCAGGAACAGTACACATCCACAACACCTCGTCAGGGATTGTCTATAGAACGTACAGGTCTCGTGAGGAGCGCCTAATCTTTAGACCACAAAACTAACATGGCTTACGTGTCGAACTTTAATCAATGTATGGTATTTCACAACAATCTTTCAGTGTCATATGTGGCTAATTGTCTCACACGTGATATAAAGTTTAGTTGTCTCCATAAATCTCTTTTGACAGTATTCCCTGTATGATTTAAAACAGCGACATAATACGTTAAATCATTTTTCGTTTTGTTATATTACGTAAAATCTACGTTTATTGAGAAAACCGATTAATTTTGAAAGAAAAAATTAATTACCATTAAAACGTTTCATACTGTCTCTTTCAAAATCAAATTATTTCTTATTGTACTTCTTAACTTATCATGCAGTACACCTTCTAGAGCTCTGGCTCTTTTTAGTTAAGGCTTTTGACTTTAAGACATTTAGCTACAGGTTCAAACACCATACCACATACCTCTGTTTCAGTAACTGGGTTAGGTCAAAAGCCTTAAGGTATTAGTTATCTCTCTAGCAGATGTACTATATGGTAAATAAAGAAGTACAGTAATAAATCATTTGGATTATAAAAGAGACAATATTACATTAGATAATTGCAATTGGTTTTAACCTTAAGATATTTAGCCTCGGGTTCAAACCTCATTCTACCTAATTAAGCTTGAGTAACCAGGTAATACCACTAATTCTTACAATTAGAGTTTAGCTCAAAGCTAATTATACGAATCTGTATTCAGTTAATAAGTTGAATAGAATTACTCCTTGTATAGCTGCTATAATGATCATGTAAAATAGACAACTACTGTTTATCTATGTATTGTTAATTGTTTCATTATTATTTTTTTTTTTGTAGGTCCATTTTACTCTTGGCTACTTCCATGTTCATATCTTTTCAAGCCTTATCCAAAATATTATACTGCTTTATCCAATATTATTAATGATGTAAATTACTCTGTCAACAGTTGTAATAATAATAATAATAACAACAATCTTCCAATCAATGATCATCATCATCATCACCATGGAATTGATAATAAATCAACAACAACCACTACAGCTTCTTCATTTCTCCTGAAACCGATAGTGTTTCTTCTTCCAGCTCTTCAAACAATCATTATTAGTGATATTATTATAAAATTAAATAATGAAATTCAGTATTTTGTTTTTGTTTTTCTGTCTCTGTGTGTTTGGTTGTTAACCCTCACTGTCTCTATTTATCTGTAAATGATGTTTGTATTATTTCTCCTCCTACTCCTCCCCCTCCTTCTTCTTTTTTCTTTCTTTCTTTCGTTGTTTAAACGTTATCATTTTCTTCTTCTTGAATTGATTCATTATGTAAGTTGGTTTTGTATTGAATGTTTGTTAAACATTATACATTCTGCTGAATTTACACATTATTTTTCTAATAATAGTAATAATAATAATAATACTATTACACATATGTATGCATATTACTAATGTTTGTATACTTTTCCATTTATATCAATCATGATTGTGAAAATTTCAATTGCCCAGAATGAATAGATTGTTTGTAGTGTTAGCTTATCCTCTGTTTGTTCTCCTTGTATGTGTGTGTGTGTGCGTGTGTATATCTGTGGGTGTAGATAGATAGGGATTATCACAGATTTATAATGAACTAGGATCAGTTAGCTTATTGGAAATATTATATGGTTCAATGAAAGATTATAATGATTCTATCCTTATTTATTTACATACAGTAATTGAATGTTTAGAACTGAAGCGCATATATAGGATATAGAGTAGTTTACCCTTTTGGATATAATAATCAATGATTGTTTATCCCATTTATATCTTTATTCATTTAATCATTGTTATCTAATGATATAATGTTATTAATAATAAATATATATTTGATGATTCTATTTACTTCATATTTGATTAATTTTGATAATCATTTTGACTTCTTTTTTTATTTATTTACTTTATCTTTGATTGTTCTTTTCTTTTTTGTTGTTGTTGTTCTCTTTCTTTCTTTTTCTTCTTTTATTATTGTGTATTGATTTCTTTGACAATATAGATGTACTTTGTTATTCTATTACATTTAACACACTTCATATTCTATTCTTTGTATACAAATATTGTATTATTTATTATCTAAATAATCTTGCGGTGATCAATTATCATAATACGTGAACAGACTATTTATTTTGATGATCATGATGATGATGATGATGTTGTTGTTGTTGTGTAACAACAGAGCAGTAGTTTGTATTATGAGAAGGATTTTTAAAAAAAAATTTATTATTTACAATTGAATAGTAATTGATTTATTGCATCATATTGGTGTTTGTGTGACAGATTGATTGATTGATTGATTGTGTTATAATCCTCTCTTATTATACAACCCAGCTATTCTTATTGCTTAGTAGTCTTGGACATCAATTCAGTCGACAAGTTCCCAAATCAGAACACGATTGAACAGGAAGCAGATTATATTCCAAATAAAAAGGTTGGATGGAAGTAGTTTTTATATGGGAAGATTCTAGAGTCTTCTCTATGTATCCACTAGCACTGATTGGATAAGAATTAACCAATTAGCATGCACCAACGCGATTGTGCATGGAACATGCTTTAATCCAATCTATGTCCCGCTAACAGGTTGACTAATGTTTCTGAGATGGAAATCTGTTCTCATTTTGGAATATCGAAACAAATGTCATACTTAATAGACTTTCAAAAGGTGGAACTTGCTCTCAGGTCTATGATGTTTACTATCTACCTTCACTGATTGATATGAGTTTTATAGAATAGATAGATTGTGATGAATAGTGCGATAAAGTTCGAGTGTGAGTCTCATCAGTTGTATGTATCTTTTACATCCTAGTACCGATTTTCACAATGGGAATGGAATATAATACATTTCAGTTCGGACGTTAACGCGTCATCTACTTAACTACTGAGTCCAACTAGCTACTAACGTGTTCAACAGATATAAAGTTAGTAATAAGCGTTTGTAATTTCTGAGTGGATAACATGATTGGCATTTAAAGCAAAATGTACCTAGTTCAGGTCTAGGTGTGTACATTAGCACTTGCATAAAGATACATTCAACTGGCGAGTCGAAAATAGGACATTATACACACCATAAATTTTGCCATTAGCCACAATCCATTTATTCCGTAAAACTTGTGTTAAAAAGGTGCTACTTGGCCGATTCTCACAGAACTCAGAAACGCTGCTGAACATTAATCAGACCTTTACTAATAATGATAACATCAATAAATCTGTCTCACAAATTGAAGTTTATTCTTTGGTTTGTCAGTCATGTGATAAGAAATAAAAATAACAGTTCCTCATTGAAGTGTTAATTAGCTAACGACGAAAATCTGACCCAAAAGGGATTTCACTAGCGAAAATATCAACTACTTGAGTTCTTTCAGTTGTTTTATGATGAGCATTTCACTTCGGTGCTCGAAAAGAAAATCATCGAATGAAACATTTCCTTTAGTATTAAAAATGCATGTCCAGAAATTATTGGATGAAGTAAACTGACTTTTAAACGAACCCTGTATTCCTCCTTTAGAATTTAAAATTTATGGGATTCGTCCAATAATTGTTAAGTAAACTTCAATTTTTTCCAATCATAAATGGATTGGAATTAGATATGCGAAGCATTGGATGCCGACTCAATGGTGTAAGGGTTGATTGCTCATTGTAAGAGCTGAAGATTTTGGTCCCAGTGCTCGTTAGGGGACCTTAGATGCATACTCTTGAGGAATGCCACACTAGGACGAAACAGTTATCTAATGCTTCTTGCATCTCAATCGTTGTATAAGTAATGTCAGTTTGAAACAATACACATATATGTTCCAAGTTCTACGTTGAATATGCTTAACTAAATGACTGCATTTGGAAATTTAACTACTGAGCTATTTATGACTGACTTTTCTGTATTACTTAACTCTGTCTGGAGCCCCTCTGGGGCTACTGCCTGTCCCAAGCCCGGATAAATGAGGAGGGTAGAAAATTAACTCGCCAAAAAACGTTAACCAGAAAAAGTATTCTGTATTAATTGACTTTCAGTTATGTTAAGAATGTAATAGGTAACATTTTCCATTGTTGAATGGAAACCAAACACGATTGAATACGTTATACTCAATTATTCGAAATTACAATCACTTTGTTCTAATGGGTTTTTTTACTTTGTTCACATTGTAGAATGACGTTAATCTATTTCATTTCATGTCATATACACTCATTCATAGAAATAAATAGATTGTAACTTTGTGTGTAACATCCATAAAACAATTTAGTTCATTATTAACTAAGAATAATCTTAATTATATTCATACAAGTTCAATTTTATAGATGAAAGTACAACGAAGGTGAATGAGATGATAACTTGACCAAGAACAAGAAACATGGGTTGATTATCACTAACAACACCTACTCCATATTAAAAGTGAGATGTTTATTTCACAATTTTTATTTATTTATTTGAACATATAAATATTGGCACAGAAGCGCATCGAATACATATGCGTCACACAATTCACTTCGTTTGTGTGTGGGCTGTGATACCCCCTACGTGACCAGACCGAAGCAGGTGGTTTTCTTAGGGAGCCGCACTCTGAGCCTTTAACCTAAATGTCTGATCCACAAGACAGTGCAGCAACGTTAGGAGATGCAGTCCCATACTAGCCAGTGACTGACAATTGGTTCACACGCCATTTGATCCATCAGGATCCCGGAGCCGACGTTTAGAATCAAGGTTTTCCAACCCTCCCAAGTGGATCCTCCATATCCACTAACCGTATTAAAGCGACGGATATTCGCGTTTTATCCTCTCAATTTCGTAAACAAAACCCCTGGTGCGAGAAGACAGTGAGTAGGACTTCTCTGATAGTGCTTGTATGTACGTGACCATGTGAGAGGATTTCAAAAGGGAGAGCTGACTCTTCACACTTTCGGCCGTACAAGGGAATTCGGGGGCATATTTCACAAGTGCTAAACTAGCTTTTTCCAATATTAAAAGAACACAACAACTCCAGAAAGTAACCATAATAACGGTGCTAATTATTAGTTAAAAATGGTATGTGAAACTACAGTTACTTGGATAACTAAATTCATTGAGGGTCAGATGTTTCCATTGAATAATGTTGAAATTATATGTACTGCAAATTAAAAATGAAAATGTAATAAAAAATGATTAATGCAGCTGTTATTATAATTAAATAAAAGTTGGCAGAACTTATGAAGAATGTTAGTGGTAGGTATTAACATAAGTCAAACATACAAAGCAAATATTGCAAAAAGAAGAGAGAGAGAGAGAGAAAGGAATGCGGACAAATGATAGTAGCCAATTGATTACTATTCGGTGTACCATGTGAATCAAAAATACTTTTTGCATAATTAGATGATAAATACTTACTCCTTTTGTATAAGTTTGTTATTATTTTGTGTATTTATCAATAGAAAATCATGATCTATAACCATAGTATATGTTAGCCTGTTAACTGGTGTGATGATATTGATTGTTATGTCCATAGGAAGAGGTATTTGAAACAAAGGTATTATGTAAGCAGTGATGGATAGTGGCTAGCAGTGGAATCCAGGACGCGCGTTTCGTCCCATCTGTGACTCGTCAGCTGGATGTACCTGCATCTCAGAGTTGATGTTCATTCTGGGACTCGAACCCAGTACCGTTCGCTTCAAACACTATCGCGTTATCCACTCAGCTACTGATTCCTGATAGCCACTTACTTGTGAAGTGGAGTGAATTTAAATGCACTTGGTATTGTTCGGCTTGTATCTTCCCATTGAGGTTTCAGACTGCAATTGATCAGTCTGTTATTGACATATATGCCATCATTGCTTACAAAAAGCTTGTGAATTAAGGCAATATCGAGACATACGCACAGTATACACATATGCCAATAACAGACTGATCAATTGCAGTCTTAAACCTCAATGGGAAGATACAAGCAAAATGAATACCAAGTGAAAAGTATTATGATTTTCATGTGTTGGGTAGCTATGATCCCTGACTGATCAATAAACGAGGATAGACATATACGATCACACTCAATACATGAAACTATCTTGTATATAAAATTGGTTATACTTGTTAAGTGCCTTGCATTTTTGTAATAATAAACACTCGTTCTAATCTAAATGTGGTTCTTGACTATCCTCGGATACTTGAATCAAGTGATTCACATGGTTTGCTGAGTTTATTGGTCTAGCATTCAGATTTGCCAAGGTGTTCAACAACTTGATTGAAAAATAAACCGTCCAATTAGCTATTTGTAATCCACCTCTTGTCTCATGTGACGATAACTAATGAAGTTGTAAACAATCTCATCCATTTTTGTATTACTAAAAATGGCATATGTATGGTGATTTTTTCAATGTTATTCTGAGCAATACCAATGTTTTGACTTTTTCAAACATTTTGTAATCTATCCACTTGAAAATTAAAACGAATTCTTCACATGGTATTGCAGTTGCTTTTTCTCCTGTAAAGAAATAATTCTGTTTTACTAATCTACTCTAAAATGATGTTGAATAAACTGACAATGAATTGTCTCAAATTTTATAACACAGCCTGATTTTACTTACATAACCATTGAAATTGAAGAAACGTTGGTTAATTGTTTTGTTTTAGTGTGGCATTCCTCAATAGTATCCATCTAAGATCCCACCACGAGCACTGGAACTAAAATCTTCAACTTTCATAACGAGAAATCAACCCTTACACCATTGAGTCGGAATTCGATGCTTCACATGTCTAATTCCAATTAATTCATGATTTTGTGTAACCACCTCGCAATGTCATTGGTGGGTAACTACTAATTCACACTCGATATGTTTGAACTCAGCTGGTTACACTACCACACTAGAACTCCTTGAATCATCTCTCTAAACTGGTCACTGGTGAGCACATGAGGATTGTGTAGGTTGTTGATATTTGTAGTTTACATTAGATACCGACTTTAGTACTGGAAACTTTTGAAAATCAAAAATCACTGTACAGTTGTATTTTTCTGGTATTTGACTCGTCGGCAGTGTGTATCTGTGACCCCATAGATGATAGAATCCAAAGCATCTATGCCCTGATTTTTAATGGTTGCCTAAGGTTAATTTTTCATGTGAACTACACTTGAAAAATATTCTAAGGATATAATAAACTTGAGCGAAGATTAAGTACTCAGATTACACTTTAAATAATTCGTTTACAATGATTTGAGAACAAAAAGAGATATGATAAAAAGCAATAAAATAATTGCATATTTACAATAAGGGGAATACAGAAATCATTTGACCTGGTTTCTACTTAGTGAATGTTCTTAACTATCAACATTGATGTTTCGATCAATGGTTTGCGAACTTTATCATTTTCGTTTAGATCTGTCATTTTAACATGAACCAGTTCAATGCGTAATCACTGAATTTATCAGATGATTAGTTCTCAATCTGGATATTCTTAACAATGTTACTGTATAATTCACTTGGTATTGTTTGCTTGTATCTTTTCATTATTGTTTAGGACTGCAGTTGATCAGTCCCGCAATGACATATGTGTATCCTTTGCGGATTGCCTCGATATTGCCTTAAGTTACAAGCTTTATGAGCAAAGATGGATAGTGGCTAGCAGTCCGCACAGAATGCATATATGCCAACGAGAGACTGATCAATTGCAGTCCTAAACAACAATAGGAACATACAACACAAACAATACCAAGTGAATTAAACTTCACCACATCGCACAAGCAGGTGGGTATCAGGACTCAGCAGCTGAGTAGATAACGCGATGGCGTTTGAAGCGAACAGTACAGGGTTCGAGTCTGTGAGTGAACATTAACTCTGGGATGCATGTGAATCCAGCTGACGAGTCGCAAATGGACGAAACGTGCGTCCTGGATTCCACTGCTAACAACTACCCATCTTTGCTTATAATGCTACTGTATGTTAATCAAGATTAGTATGTGTAGTTGACGATATGATTGACTAAGTCGATTGTTAAGTATTTCACCGTCATTTTACACTCAATATGCGACGAAATCCAGTTTGGTTTTGCGATGAATAGTTTAAGTTTGTACCCGAAATGATGAATTGTTCAACTTGTTAATCATTGTTTAAAATCAAAACATTTAGATAATATTACACTTCTTTGTCAATACTGCGGTAAGAATTACATTCTTTGAACTGTAAGGTTTAATTTTAAAGCTTTCACTGTTTTTTAGACAATATCATCAGCACAAAATTCAGATAGAAGTGAGCTATAGTCATTTCTTCGCATATGGCTAACAGCTTGTCCCATCAACCTTGATTGTGATTAGCTGTTGTTAACCATTGTCGTATTCTTTTCTGTAAATTTTCTGTGTATTTTTCCCACTTTAATTTAATAATCAGAATAAATATACAGACAACGACATTATAATGGTAAGTAACAAAAAATAAAAGTCAAGGTTAACAGAACATGCTTCTAATCATGTATGAACGAATTGAAGTAATTCACTTCTATCTGAAGTTTATACATTTGATGATCTCGCTTAGAAAGACAACAAAATGTTCATGACTAAACTACCTATTACAGAGAACGCAATCTCACAATAGTTATGTTGAGCTGCAAATCTTCATCACTTAGTCAATAGTATCATTTGAAACATCATTATGTAATGAACCTTCCAGATTAAAATTTCTCTTGTATCGAGGGTGGGGAGAGTTAGCTTTCCCTCTCCAAATGCTCTCACATGGACACGCGTATACGACACTTCCAGGGAAGTCCTACTCACTGCCTTCTCGCACCAGGGGTGTTGTTTAACCGGGTTGATGGATATTGTAGATCCATCTAGGGGAGTTAGAAAACCCTGATTCAAAAAACCAATGGTGCACATCGGCTACAGTATCCTGAAGAAACAAATGGCGTATCAATTTATTGTTGATCACTGACTACCATAGGACTGCATCTCTTGATGTTGCTCCACTGCCTTGTGGATCAGACATTTAGGTGGAAGGCTCCGGGTGTGACTCCCTAAAAAAGCTACCTGTTTCGGTTTGGTCACCTGGACAGTATCACAGCCCACACACGAATCATTTGACTTATGTGGAGCATATGCATTAGGTGCTTCTTTGTACCAATGTTTATGTGTTCAAACAAATAATAAATAACATTAATACAACCATTAAAATTACTACATTTTCCTAGCTGTAAATTTTTAAAGTAAAAATAATCTTGAAAATAATGAATACTAACTTTGCTCTCTTTTCTAGTAAACAGCATAATGAGCGAACTGAATTGATACAACGACTTTCCGGCCTTATGTGAGCAAATACTGTACAAGTTTATCATGGTAAGATACGTAACATCGCATTTCTATGACTTCAGTTAAATGTTTAATATCAGCATTATTGTTGTTCAAATGTATCACTCAATACTGAATTTCATTGAAGTCCTATAACGATCGAAGTTAGACTACCATTGAAAACTTGTAAACACTGGGCAGCCGTTTCGTCTTAGTATGGAAATCCTCATCAGCAGTGCTCATTCACGGTCTTACACGCGGGAATCGAATCCAGGGTTTCCTTTCCCCTTATATGGATCCTCCATATCCACCAAACCTGTTAAATCGCCGGACACTCGCTTTTCGTTTTGCTAACATCATCTAGAATTCAATATGATCTGTAAAATGAAGATGTTTTTACTATCACTATCTAATAGTAAATCAAATGAACTATAAATCAAAGAGTATTTTTTTAAAAAGAATAAAATTACCATAGAATTTGAAAAAAATCAACCATAGAAATCTTTCTACTCATATTTCAATTGAATATTTAATGAGTTACGTATAGATTACTTCATTTGAAAGGTGAGACTATAATTTATGGACGACCTTGAGTGACTCTAACGCGACCTTGAAAATGTTCACCTACTTACTAAGGTTAAATGAGGGTTATAAACCACTGTGAGGAATTACGATTTTGATTTACAGTTGATGGATAAACATCCATCATCCTCTATTGCTAAACATATAATTGAAACAGGTCACAAGATTGATCTAAATTCAGCTTTTGTAGTGCTGTATAAAAGTGTAAAAGGGCGTATACTAAGGTTCATTGAAGCCTTAGCCATACGAAAATTCAAACCCCCTTTATGTGTTCAAAAACAGTTTGTTCTTACCTTAAACCTACCCTGGTAATATTGACTTATTATCCAGAGTGATTAGGTTTCGCTTTGTGTTCACATTATTATTATTATTATTACTCTTATCATTATCCTTATCTCCTCTTACCCCGTTTCCTGTCTAGTTGACCTTTTATTTTTATATATAAATGCTCTTAACAAGTATATGTGTGACCAGATTGTTCGAAATGTATTGCGCTAATATATCACATAGTTCTGATAATCTTCGTCTTCTAATATCATTATCGAAATTACAGTTGATGGTTAAGGTTAGAAATTCGAATTAGGGTTTTCCTCACTAACTGACATTAGCTATAATGCCAAAACTCTATTTATCCAAATGGATGAATGAATTTCGCGCCAAAATCTGAGACCTGTTATCGTAAATCTGATTGGTTCGTCCATAAATTATGTATTGTATTTAATTAATTCAGACAATACAATAATGTTAACTAATTGTCGTTAGATACTTCTTCAATAGTTTATACGGGAGATGAATTAACCCTGTTGATATAGTGATTCTCTCGATAAGATATTCGATTTTTAGTTAATAAATCGTAGGTTTAGATTCCTTTCTACATCACTAGGCCTCATATTAACAATGCAATTCAATGCCGAATATACAAATCTGTATTGAGATTAGAAGTGGTTAATTTCTAACTTCAACTAATTGACGAAATTGAGCTTCACATTCATCATTGTCATCATCAGTAAGTTACATTGTTGGAGGAGTCCCACAATAGGACGAAATGGCCACCCAATGCATTCAGGTTTTCCATGGTGGTCTTAACTTCCAATGACTTATGATCTAAACTACTAAAATCTATATTGGTTTGATCAGTTTATAATGATAAGAATAATATTCCAATAGCATGAGATGCTAACTGGGAAAATCAATAAACTTCATCTTTACATTTTCTTTTTTCTTATCTAGTCTGAATTAGTGGATTATTCTGATTCTGATAAATCTGAATCGGATATTTCATTGAATGAATATGAAACTTCTATAGATTTATCAAATCCAGCTCATTTACAATCTTCACAATCTGTTCATATCGCTGAAGAAGATTTTTTCAATCTGAAAGATATGAATGATGAAAGCAATTGTAAGCTTTATTTTAATAATAATGAAATGAAAAAGAAACAAACATCATTTTGATAGAGTAGATAATGTCCAAAAAAGACAAGAAATGGACGACGTCCATTTCGTCCTAGTATGGGACTCAGCAGTGCATGTCCACGCTCCCGTACACGGGACTCGAAACCGAAAACCTTCAATCTAGCTTGTGATTGACTTGTGAATTCATCTGTTAAAATACTACTATCTCCATAAATCCCACAAACTGATAATAATCATGTGCTCACTAGTGACTAGCTTCAAGACGTATTTTCTAAAGTTCTAGTGAGAAGCCGTGGTCAGTGGAGTCTAACCCATGCCGGGTGGATACGGTTATCTACTTCAGACAATGGATGAAGGGTTGCGTAAGATCATGGATCGATTGAAGTTAGAAAATAACATCGTTAGATGCCGGTGCAGGGATCTAGAGGTTAAGCTTGAAATGATTTGAGTTGTTCAGACATATGATAGACATGACAAACCGTTTTTTGCATCTTTGTTACTGGCTGAAGTAATAACTATGTTGTCCAATGTCTATGCTCAATAGGGAAGCTACATGTAGCGATTCTGAAATATTCTTCCAAAAGATGGTTGGATGGGATGTCTTCGACTCTTTCCGAGCTTCTTAGAGCTTCCTCGAGTTCACCCGTGGGCCATCCTCACAGTTGGATAACAATAGTTGTTTTTTTATTACTACAAAATATTATTTAATGTTTTAATCATTCATTATCAGTTATAGATTGTTATCTCATATCTAAAGATTCAGTGCCAAAAAGTATTATCATTCGATGGAATTCAACTGATTGTATCTAAGGTCTGACATTCCTTTTATGTTACTCAAAAGCCTGTAACATTCTTTTATTGGCATGTACTAAAAAGCTTAGATAAGATTATTATAAAAAAGTTTTGTTAATTAGAAGCAGAATATTGGTCTTTTAACTTCTTAAATTCGTTTTATACATTAACACATTTGGATGATGGCTCAATGGTCTAGAGGTTAAGCTCTCGCTTGCGAGACTGAAAGGTCCTGGGTTCGAACCTCGCGAGGCAGGATCGTGGGTGCGCATTGTTGAGGAATCTCATATTAGGGCGAAACAGCCGTCAAGTGCTTTCAGACTTTCCATGGTGGTCTAGCCTCAATCAAATAATGAATTCAACTACTAAATTCTTATAATATCCACAAAACCCCTCTCTGATTATCTTTATTCAAAGTATAGGTTCTGGTACAACAAGGTACCGAAATAGTATGAACTACACAAAAAGTTGTAACGTTGTAGAGACAATGTGGGAAGGAAGTGTAACACAATCAATAATAATAAAATGTATAGAAATAGTGCTTAATAATAGATGAAGTTCAGTTACAAATATAACCAGAAAGATTTCTTTTAGCTAAAGAAGACCATCCCACTAATATGAAGGATGTAAAAGAAAACTACAATAGAATTGCCACTGTTTTCTGTTCTGAGTCATATATTTGTTGATGTCTGAGACTACTGAGTTGTATCATCTCCAGAATTCCAAGTAAAATCTTTTGATAGGTCGAAAGGTCCCTATAGTAAGAATCTTTCTTCTATACCACGATATCATGCCGTAAACTGATCACCTGTTAGTTTATTTCACCGAATCCCAGAATCGGGAAATTGTGCAGTAATAAATAGCTATTAGATTACCATTTATGAGACATTACCAAATCTCTAAACTCTATGTCATAAAATACGGTCACTTAGTTATTGAGACTGCTCTAAACACGAGTATTACTAAGATTCTGTCTTCACCGGACGTAAACATTCCCTCGGGGATAACAATGGCCATAAATGTGTATTCTCTGGATATCCCCATCTCAGAGAGGACAATCTTCGCAATCATAGAGTAGAACTGCTCTTACCGATGCATTGTAAACCCGGCATTTTACAGCAATATTAAAACCATCATAACGTGAAAGATGCCTCCGACAAACACAAACCACTGTAGCTTCTACTATCTATCACTTTCTCTTGGAATGTTTCAGTTTCAAATACTCAATACTCCACATAATATTTTATCCCAAATATAATTAGATCTCACGACTAATTCAATAATCCAGAGATCTGCATTGGAAGTATGTATTAAAGTTTGTGACAATCGAATTCAGTATACATTTGTCTAATATGTTGCATTTTACGGTAAAGTTCGACTACAATGCCAAACTTGGGCCACTTTTAAAGTGACCTGCAGAAAATGTTTACCCGTTTTGACACACTAAGAGGAACTATTAAAAATGAATTTGTAACGGAAAATTAAAGCATTCACAAAGAGTATATTGGTTTGGCATCAATATTAGATATTTCTAAGCGTGTCATTGGTTCCTCTATCTCAAATTCAAAATCTTTTCTACGACCAATTCCTAATCTTATTTCAGTGGGATAGTTCTAACTCTTCATCTAATCCTTATCCTAAGAAACATCGTAACGAAATACAGCATCATCTCGTCATTCATTCCATTTTAATATTCATTAATGAGTGTTTGTTTTTTCAAGTTTTTGGCCTGAAAGCCTAACCCAGAAGGCAGCGGAGCACTGTTTGAATATCCTACCCAACGGTAGCCGATGTCCTAAAATGGAATCGTGAACCATTCATTTCCTCGAGACCATGAAGCTCATGTGCACTATTAGTTAGTAGTCGGAGTTTTCCAACTCTTTTCGTGAGATTCTCCATATCTTTCAACCCGTTTAAAGGGCCACATGTTTGCTTTTCTCTCCCTTACTTTCGTATGAAAAAAATCATCTCTATCTAGTGAAATTACTTCGTAGGGTTCGCTTGTCACAATCATTAGATTCGTCGTTGTATGAAAGTATTTCTAGTAGTAAAGCAAACTCTCCTCATCCTCGACCTTACCAGAGAATTTCGAGGCTCAGAATTAGTTTTATTTCATTCATCAAGATGTTTTACGTGTACTTTTTTTTTTCAAAAACACCATATTCTCAAGAAATCTATTTTTCAAATCATATGTTCATTTTAGCTAATTTTTGGACATCCACAATACATGATAATGACTTATTGCCATGTATAGTGCCAATGATCAACAATGATGACAAAGCATTCTCATTACAAAAAGACAAATATTTAGAAGAGCAAAATTTATCTCATACCATTGATTCTACCAGTTCATGGAATCATACTGAAATATTGAACAGTAATAGCAACTTTCTTATTTCCTATGTTATTGACAATAAAGTAAGTATACTTTATCATTTGAATCAGTATGATTAGATTCAGATAAATTTTATCCCTTAAAATATACTTTCTTGGTAAACCTAAAATGTTCCGCTAAATGACCTTAAGGTGTTGACCCGTTTTAGCCAATCAGAAAACAACAGTTATGAATGAATGAAGGTATATACAAACTATATGAAGTGAATTTATGAACAGTGTATTGTTTTGAAGAAGAAACAAATGATTTTCATAATACTCAAAGAGAAACTGAATATCTGTGAGAGGGGGAGATTATAAATAAACACTTACGGGATTTGAATGGACAACTGCATCTCTGTGTTAATGTGGTATGGAAACTCGAACTGATATACTTACGTACATATAAAGTTCTACGTTGTTACTGACTGACTAACTGAGGGCCAATAAGGGCACTTGGTCATGAAAAGAAAAACCAAAGGAAGTTTAAATGGCAAATAAAAAAATCACTGTTTATGCACTTATTGTTTTTAAGGTAACGTGTCCAGCAAAATGTTAGTGCTGATTTTACTCAACATAATTCAAAGAACATTCACTACAAGAAAACTTTAACCTTACCTCTTCTACGTACCTGATGGTGACATTGAAATTGAAAGATAAACTAGTCACCTCTTTTTGTATTTATCAACTCAAGGTATTAGGGAATGATGGTCAATCAGTTGATGAGATTGTGAATCTTCATCGACTGAGATGGTTGGGCCACGTGTTTTGTATACCTGAGCACCGATTACCACGACACGCAATGCTGAATAGTGTTGGCGATGGTCGGAAGAGGGTTAGGAGTGGCCAAACCAAAGCATGGCATCAGTCCTTGAAGTCACTAACTTTTAGTTTGAGCCATGTTGGTAGATGCAGACTACTTGGTTGGGGTCCGCGACTATCGTAACCAATGGTTGAAGACTCTTGGTGACATGGTTCAGAATCGATCACAATAGCGTACGTGTATATACTCCCTGTCTTCCCTTAAACCGTGAGATTAAGATCACTTCACATCTTTCTTTCTACGAACTAATTATTTCTTTCTGTACTATATCCTTAAACACAATCTTTCTTTTATATATTACCACTACTGAATTAACTACTTTTATGGATCCGGTGTTCATCTTGTTGTATTAATGAGGTATGGCAACTTCGACCAATGCACATATGTGCCTGGTTTTACGTTGTAGATGATTAACTATTATTATTGATTGATTGATTGCCATTAATTTCATACTGAAATCATGTCACTTCATACACTATTTATTCTTCAACCATACATTTGATCTTATGTATAAGTATATTATTTTTGTGTTTGTATATTTTAGGCATCTAATATTGTTGATACCAATGATAGTGTAATCTATCCTCGTCTTTCACTTCAATGGCCATATCTTGCATTATGTGGACCGTTATGCAAACAACCTAATGAAACTATTGATAAACTATCATCACATATCTTAATATGGCGACTTCCATATCCTGATAGTGGAAAAAATTCACCTTCACTTATTTGTGATTATAGAATTCATTTAGATCATAAACTGACTTCTACATCACCATCGTCATCATCATTCCTATCACCATATTCACGACGAGATTCTTATTGTTGGACAAAATTTCATTCTCCTACAACAGATTCACAATGTTTACAATTGATAGCAGCTACTTATAAAGGATTAGTCGAAATGTGGGATATTAATCAAGGTAGGTCGAATGTTCTAATCACTTTCTTGATAATTTGATTTTCTTTTTTAAAAAAGAAAACAATTTTATTTCTTTTGAATGTTCATCAATATTTGAACAGATAACTGAATAGAAATTGCTCCACCAAGAGATTGTTTATGAAAGATATAATTGGAATAATCTTAGCAACTAAAATATAATTCATTCCATTATTCTCATTTATCACTCTTGTCTATAAATATTCCTTCAGGCTATTTCAAATTAAAATGATCAAAGAATACATTAACTTTAATAATCAGATCTGGTTAATCACTTCAAATGTTGATTCCATTAAGTAATAAGATGTGAATAATGTGAAAAAGAATTTTAATCATTGAATTCATGAATCGATTTAAGCTAGACCATCATTGAAAACATGGAAGCATTGTACGGTCATCTCGTCCTAGTATGAAGCTCTTCAGCAGTGCAAAACAGCCATCCACTGATTCTATATTTCCAATGGTGTTCCGGTTTAGATTGATTTATGCCCCCAAATGCCCTGGTACGATCGAAGCTAAGGAGAGTCAGCTTGCCCTCTTCAAATCCTCCCACATGGCCACGCGCATACAGGCACTTCCAGGGATGTCCTATTCACTCCGTTATCGCGGTGGCGGTGTTGTTTACGAAGTTGAGAGGATGAAAAGCAAATGTGCGGCAGAGGTTTTAACCGGGTCAGTGGACACGAAGAGCCCACGTAGGGAAGTTGGAAAACCCTCATTACAAACTAATGGTGCACATGCGTTTCATGATCCTGAAGGAATAAGTGGCATATGAGCCTATTATTGGTCACTGGCTACTATGAGACTGCATCTCCTTACGCTGCTCTATTACCTTGTGGACTAGAAATTTGGGTCGAAGGCTCGGGGTGTGGCCTCCTAAGAAAACCACCTGTTTTGGTCTAGTCACCCGGTCAGTATCAAAACCTACACACAAATCAAGTGAGCTGTGTGGCGCATAAGTATTGAATGCCTCTTTGTACCAATATTTATGTGTTATTGATAATCTATTTTCAAGTTCTTTGAAGTTAACCAAGGATTTATGAACATGTTCCAACACACTGTTTGTGTTCTTTCAACCTCATATTCAGTTATCTCCCGACCGTTGTTGCTACCTTGACGTGGTGGTCGGGGTTGCCTATCGTTATGAAGCAACCGAGCTATACTGGCTGGAACAACCGTTCCTCAAGGTCCTACCATGTCAGACAGGTTGGTTGATGAGCGGTAAGACTAAAAGCAACAAACCTAAGGCGAAGTCGTACTGCTGACTGTACAGAGGTGTGACAGCAGTAAGGTGTTTCCTTCAGACAACCAGCATGACAGCGATGCTGCCTTCCCACAAGGAGGGGTGGGGTTAGAAAAGGTCGACCCTAAAAATGCACACCTCGCCTTATCCCACGGATATCCGTCTCCGGCGGTAAGGTCTCAACAAGTACGAAGCTAACACAAAAATTACCCTTAAAAAGGTTGTGTGTGACCGACCTCAAGCAGTTGTCCCTTGGGCACTGCGGTCACGCTCTCAGGTCACTAGGACCACCTTTAATCCAATTTCCTTTTCAGGTACCTCCAGAAGAACCCTTCCACGGTGTGGGCAACCGGGAAGTGATAACCGCCCTCATACCTCTAACAGCACTCAAGACTGATATTCAGTTATCTAGATGTTTTTTTCACATAAACTATATTGTAATAATGACAATTAATCTTGTAGACAATATCCTGTCTCTCTTACTTTGGTAACCTATCATTAACTTTAAGCAAAATCGAACTTATAGTGTCACTTACACGGAAATATTCATTTAGATTCCTCTTGATTTTCTCCAATGTTCCTATATGGTATAAGATAAGCTTTGAGTATTGAGTTTTATGTTAAAATGTTATATATATATTCTTTGATGATTTTGATTTTGAGTATTACGCAGATGAAGTCTAATCAAAATTACTAGACGTAATGTTGATGAACGTATTTACATGTTAATCATTGGGATTATTTCAAATATTACCTTTTAACATAACTCCGCCTGTAGCCTTTTTGGGGCTACTGCCGGTCCCAAGCCCGGATAAAGGAAGAGGGTTGGGTATGAGGTAAGCTACTCCATCCCGTAGAAAACTGATCCACGCTTGTAATTCATTGATAGATGGAGAATCTTAGAAATAATAATTATTATTATTGCATCAAGTAGGTATTTGTTTAGATCAACATTCAACTACAGTGTAATAATTATGTATCACACTTCTCACACCCATATTGTCTAAATTAAATAATTAATTAATGAAGATTATATTTTACACTTTTCTCTCTCTCTGACTAGTTTATTTTATCATAAAGTGTGTTATGTTCATAAAAACTTCGTCCTTATTTCTAATCAGGTAATTATAATATACTAGCCAGTATTCAAACTAGGTCCAATATTGCCTACCATATGTCTTTAACTGATGAACGTCAAACAAGTGTACAGTACGATGCTGAGTCAGTGTTGGATTCAAGTGATCGTACTGTAAATTTGATTAATAAAATATGGTCACCATTGAGAGCTAAATAACATTATATTAGTTCAGTACATACTAACCGATTAGTGTGAACAATCATTTGTATCCCCCTGTAGCAGGATTTCCTACTGACTACCTCTAACCATCTAACAAATTGTTAAGATAACTGTTATAATTCTGTCTTATACAATCCAGCTATTCCTATTCCTTAGTATTCTTGGACATCAATTCAGTCGACAAGTCCCCAAATCAGAACACGATTGAACAGGAAAGAAATTATATTCCAAATAAAAAGGTTACATGGAAGTAAGAAGCGCAGTAGGAAAAACGTTAGTATATTTATAATTTTTATATGAAAAGATTCTAGAGTGTTGTCCCAGCATCGGCTAGTACTGATTGGATAAGAATTAACCAATTAGCATGCACCAACGCGATTGTGCATGGAACATGCTTTAATCCAATCTATGTGCCGCTAGCAATAACAGGTAGAATATTGGTCCGTTGATGCTGTAAAACTATAGGGTTATGGCATAGTGATAACTTCTTATTGAAATGAATCTATTGACTTGTCTCATCCATAAACAGTTCGTTCACTGAATGACAATAAAGAGTTAGAATTATCCTCGAAGTTTCTAGCGTTCAGTTTGTATGTTTTATCCATCACTTTCGGCTATTATCACGTTTGTTAAGAGTAGGCGAGTGTTGATATTGGAGTATAATTTTTCACTAAAGATTTCATTTCAAAGCGCCTAAAGTTATCCTCAGCTCTCTGTCATGAACATGTCATTCTAGCGCGGCCCAATTCGCTACGTGAAAAACACAACGATAATTGAAGTTAGAGCTTGGAATGAAATCTCTAGTAAAAATTAAACTCTGATATCCATTGCCCACTCAGTAAATGAACAGGAAATAAGCAAAAGGTTATAAACGAAACGGGCGCTGAACATTCAGGACTTTACGAATAACCTCAACCCAATGAAAAAAAAAACACCTAAACAACTGACCTCGACTTCACAGCTGTATTTTCTCTTCTTTGCTACAACGAGATAGAGAAACCTTGAAAATACAAATATAACATGAAATAACACACAAAGTAGCCTATCAGTGTAACAATAAATGATGTGACTCACTTACCAAAACGATTCCTATACTCAGTTTTCAGCCACACCTTATTTATAAATGAGTGTTAGAGTACTACTACCCAGTTGCTCATACTGAAGTAGGTGAAATGAGACTTGAATCTACTAACTAGTGGTTAAAAGTCGAACGCCCTAATCACTAAATCACTTCTCCATTTATGAAATCATACTCAAAACCATTAAGTTTAGGACTGTAAATATCTGTCAATTTTCTGTCTATTGTAATAACTACACATAACTTACCATTAATTAATAGCACATATGTTATGCCCCAATGAGCATAATGAATGGTAACTTCTAGGATCCATTTATGGGCCAATACAATACGTATATTTTTATCGTATAATTGTTAAATAACTAAACTGTTCATATTCATTTCCCTCTTATTATAAGCTTTATTTTGACCCATGGACTACTATTATACCATTTACCATTCATGAGTTATGGCATGTCTATCAATTACTATCTCCCTCATCCACAGTCACATTTGGCTAGATCTTGTACAAATGTGTATTTTCTATTTTGTGGCGTAATGTGGTCCGTCTGGTTGGTATATAAACCCAGTATGTTTGAAATACATGATTCATGTACCAGAGGCTGAGATTGGTGTTCTAGATTCAACGGGCAAGGTTAGATAGAAAGAAGGTTCGATAAGGTCTCTAGACTTCTCGTGCTTGTTTTATGCGCCATTGGTTCAGTCGATAAGTCACTGTTCTCTAATTGACTGTGTCATTACGTATACATTAGCAGGGCACTCAGGCCACAAGTTATAACAACATAAAGCTATCTTTCTTTCGAATCTTTACTTTTATTCATCTATTGTACATATATAGGTAAACAGATTAGAGATTTCAATGTATCTTCACAAACTGGTCAATTATTGCGTTGTGCATCGTTACCAGTCGAGAACTTTTCCTCTTTTCTCTTAACTGGTGGTATCAGTGGTATTATAAGTTTATGGGACTTGCGTATATCAGCATCCAAAGTACCTCAATTGAAATATTCCCATACAGAATTAAAAGCTTCAGTAAGTTATGACAATAAATTATCTTATAATTTTGTTTACTCTTTCCTGGACAAGTTTTATAAAGAACATCTTGAGTTTACAATTGGTTGATCGGTGAGTAGTGATCAATCAATTTTAAATGTGTTAATATTGCGGAAGGTTACTTGTAGTTCGAAGAACTCACTAGTAACTTCTAAGATTACGAAGATGAATCAAGTTTGACTTCCACAGGGAGAATCTTTTTCTCAAAGACTACAGGTACACCTTTCTGCCAACTACCTCCAACTATCTAATATTTCAAGTCGTTGACTGGCTATATTCATTGGCAATGCTTAATCTGACGCAGATTTGGGTGTCATGTTTTAAAACAACAATTCGAATAGTTTTTGCACTACAACAATTTGAGCACAGATCGGGTCAACGCCCATAATATATCTTCATTCTTTAAAGAATTCTATTGGTTATACTGAAAAAATATCAAATTTATATCCTGAACAAGAGTTTTGTTTTATTTGAGGCTCGTCAGTTGGATATATCTGAATCCTAGTGTTGATGTTCATTGCGGGATTCGAATGCACTACTTTTCGCTAATAAGCTTCAAAATAGAAAGGAATTTGTTTCTGAACACCATTCATCTTTTCTTAAAATATTTGTTTATTATTATCATCAATATTGAGAAATCCTCTATGGATGCACATATGCCAAAATAGACTGATTGAGATTCAGTTTTTAACACCAACAACTGTAAAATATGTCTTAGTTGGACAAGCTATTCGCTATCTGGACTCAGTAGTTCAGTGGATAAGGTGTTGAGGCTCTGATATGAAAGGTACTAGGCTGGGGTCTCAGACTGAAAATCAACAGCGGATGCAGGCACATCCGGCTCACGTGTCCCATATGTGACGAAAGCCATCTCCTAGCCACTATCTATCTTTACTCAAGATATCATGTTGTATTTTTGTACACTTTTGAAAATAAATCTAGATGGAAGAATATTAATCAATATGGTCAAGTAAACGGAACCTAACTCTGAGATTTGAGAAGCAAATCTGTAAATATATTCTGGCAAAACAAATTTATTATATTGATTAACGACATTTTACAAAGACATACACGTAATCATGACTACATAGTCACTTATGTATATCCCCTAGGCCAAACCAAATACATCACAATTACTGAAGTTAGACATTAATGCCTTTGGATGCCGACTAAGTGATCTAGAAGTTAAGCGCTCGCACATAAAACTTAAGGTCGTGGGTTCGATTCTCAAGTACGAGGTTGTAGATGCGCACTCGTTAGTAGTCTCATACTAGGACAAAACGCTTTTTCAGTGCTTCCACATTTTCAATGGTGTTCTAATTTAGATCATCTCACTATCTCAATGATATCGAAATTCGTACTTACAAGAAAAGATTGAATTTAGATCAAACTATATAACATTTTCAACAATCTCTAACCTACAATGACGATATATATGTAAAATGTAAAAATTATGGTTGTTAGAAGTATGATTCTTCACATGTCGTAAACAACTTAGAACGTAACACATTTTCATCAACCCAAATCAGTACACCATCTAAAATCACGTGTCCAAGTAGGCGATGTCTGAGCATACGTTATACATGTTCCAATCATCTTTTTAGTGAAAATCTACTACTTCATCAACGGTAAAGCAAACTGAACAAGTACATAGTATAATCTTTCTTTGACTAAGAGAGAGACATCCAGCTTATACCATAACTAAATTTATTCAATGACAAACTAATCAGTTATATCAAAATGATCATATATACGCCATACTAGAGATGCGTTTCATCATACTTTCAAAATAGGTATCAACATTCCTCTAACATTTAATACCAATATTATGGAGCGACTAGGCTATATCCAGGTATATCTTTTCTTCCACTTAACGGTGATAAACAGTTTTCTGCATTGAATACATTCATTGTAAGCTAATATAACTTAGAAATGATTCAGTTCCTTGGTGAAAAAAAAAATAAATCTTTAAGTAAATGAGAACTTTACCTTGACCTATTTATCATCATCAACATCATCATATTGAAACATGAAAAGTCCAATAGAAATCATTGAACTATGTCAAATGTCAATAAATAACTTTTGGATATATTTGTCTGTTTAGTACAACAAACATGATCCCATTATAACCTACATGGATCATGTAAAGTGAATATCATATTGTATAAAATATATCCAATATCATTGATATCTTAGATTATTTCATAAAATATTTAACGACCCTGGATCTAACTCGAATTGAATTGTATGTTGATCATTATTGAAATATTACATCCTGATTATTGTCGTATATAGTTATCAACTTAAATAGTATTAGTGAATAACAGAGTTAAATAAGTCACATATGAGAATGGATGTGTTGAATACGTATATTTTGTATATTCATTGATCTGGACAGACAATCCAAGGAATGAAGTGAAGAGAAGAGAACAAAGCGAAATGACGCGTAGTGGAAAAAGCGTGTGAGCCAACTCGATTTAATCAAGTGTGACTCAGATAGAAATAAGTTGAAGACATGTGATGAATAGAATAAAAAGTGTGCACACGTATACGCTGATTTGAAAACAGTTAAGGTTGATAGCGAATGAATAACAAGTTCAAGGGTACATTAAAAAACCCTAACTGTTTATCTTCAGAAGGTATAGGGAGGGCTATCGATATAAGAATTATTCATATTCTACTGAAATTGATCTATATTACCCTTAAAATCTCTCATCCATACGATAATTCTAATGGATTCAGTTATTTGATCAATTTTGTGGCATCTAACACAAATGATCAATGAACTAGCTGACAACTTAATCCCCACTTGTTTTATCAATTTTACTTCGACAACTTAACTGCTTTAAGTCATTTCATCATGGATTTAGTTAGATCTAAGAAATATTCCGTTATCTTCCTCAGAGTCCCTAAAATTAAACGTCCAGATGATCTAATTTCATATACAGACTGGCTGGCTATTCTCGTATATAATTATCGACTTAACTCGTGTTAGTGAACGATGGAATTAAATAAGTCAAATATGAGAATGGATTGTTGAATACGTATATTTTTTGTATCATCTTTGATCCAAACAGACGATCTAAGCAATGATGCGAAACGAAGTGAGTGATGCGCGGTGGAGAAGGTATGTGAATCAACAGACATGTAATGAATAGGATAAGAAGTGTACACATATATACACTCATATAAGAACAGTCAAGGTTGATAATCGAATATTCAACAACGTCAAAACTTGACTGAAAAAGAATAGATAAATTGGCCTATCCAGAAGATAGAATAGGTTATGCGGGTTTAACATAGTAACCGACATTACAAATTACAATCAAATTTATTGTATTGTGTTATTCTTTCTTCTTCTTTTTTTGTTTGTTTGTTTTAACTATACAAAAAATTAATAATTCATTTATTTTAGATAGCTGATTTACTTTGGCTTAATGAAAATCAATTCAGTTCATGTTCAGATACTGTTGATCGAAATAATTGTGAACATAATATTGCTGTATGGGATATACGATTTACTAAACCAATATCTCATCAATTATATCAAGTAAGTAATCAAATGAATAAAAACAAAAGGAAAAAAAGAGACATTTTAAATATTATTCGAATAGGAAGGGGCAGGATTGCGAATTCATCAGTCAATCTAAGCTAGACAACCATTGAAAACCTGGAAGCACTGGATGGTCGTTTCGTCCTAGTATGGGACTCCTCAGCAGTGCGCACCCACGACCCGTCATGCGGAGTCTCATAACAGTACGAAATGGTCGTCCAATGTTTTCAAGTTTTCATTGGTGGTCTAGCTTAGATCGACTCATGAATTCAACTATTGCAATCTATCTAGTATCTAGTTTCCAGTGTAGAATTAACAAGATATATTTCCTTTTACAACACTTAGTAACTAATCTATGTTAGCAATCTCTAATTTACTAGGCTCAAGACTAATAAAATGTTTTGTCTTTTCTTTCGGAAAAAATCTATTACATATTAGGAACGTTGGGGCTGTAACCGATTAGCTTTAAAGCCAAAATTTCATTCTAATCAAAATATTCGTTTTGCTGTACAAACTCAAGGTGATGCAATTGTAGAAATCTATTGTAAAACAATGAAAAATTCCACATCATCAAATCGATTAAGTTATCATTTAGAGAAACGTTGGCGTTATGAAGGTCATCAGGTTTGTTTATTATTGTATACTTTATTAGAAGATTTTATTGTATGGTAATTCAATCCATTTAAAAGTCAATAGTTTACATCATTTTAATTTCAATAGTTGAGATTATGAGTTAATTGAAGGTAGACCACCATGGAAAACCTGGAGGTACTGAACGGCCGTTTCGTCCTACTGTGAACTCCTAGTTGGAGTTAGACATTAACACTTTTGGATGTCGGCTCAGTGGTCAAATGGTTGAGCACTCGCGCGCGAGACTGATGAGTCCTGGGTTCGAATCTCGCGAGGTGGGATCGTGGGTGCGCACTGCTGAGGAGTCCCACAGTAGGATGGAACGGTCTTCCAGTGTTTCTAGGTTTTCCATGGTGGTCTAGCTTCAATTAACTCATGATTTCAACCAGTCACATTCTACTTACTACTTATTTGAAATAATGACACAATTCTAGTCTACAGAAAACAATCAAAATGAGTTAGTTTAACCAATCTAATTGAATAAAATTACCTTCATTATATAAACCCCTTTTAATATGATGATAAATTAATGTTTATTATGATTCACAAACCTAACCGTTACATTCAAAAGAGATTCGTACAACCACTTTCTCTGACCTGGCCATCAGTATAAGATTTCCTTCAAAAGAACTATTTTTCATACTTCTTCCATTTGTTTTCTTTTTTTTCATTTTTGTAATTTTGTTTCTGTCGCTTTTAAACTTTAGAATTTCTCAACATTCATCTCTTGATTCTTACGTAACTACTATTCTATTGATCATCCATTATGAAATACTGTTCCTTCTATTCTTTATGATGAATTCGTTCCTTCTTTATTGACCAAATGACAAAATGGGAATTTTCAAAATAAACATCAATTTAACTGATTAGAAAATAAAAGATAATAGAATGAAAACAATGAAAATCACACCATTATAGATAATGAATCAATATTATCAAAATGTGTATTTAGTGTTAATGTGATTTGTGCTAATTATATCGACATAAGTAGTATGTAACGTTAGTCAGCAATAAAATTTCTAGTAACAGAAGGTCAAGAAGATCGAAGAGGAAAGAACAGGAACAGAAAGCAATTGGTATAGAAATTCAGGAACAATGAAGTCGGAGATAATTAACGTTTATTTATGTCAATGGTTGAGATTATGAGTTAATTTAGGCTAAACCACCATGAAAACCCTGGAAGCACTGGACGGCCGTTTCGTCTTATTGTGGGACTTCTCACCAGTGTGCATCCACGAACCCGATTCGCGAGATTCGAACCCAGGACCTATCGGTTTATTTATTTGTTTATTTAAATACATGAAGACTGGCACAAAGGAGCACCGAATGCAGACGCGCCACACAAGCCACTTGATTTGTGTGTGGGATATGATACTGCCTGGGTGACCAGACCGAAACAGGTGGTTTTCTTATGGAGTCACACTCGGAACCTTTGACGTAAAGGTCTGATCCACAAAGCAGTGGAGCAATGTCAGATGATGCGGTCTCATGGTAGCTGGTGATCAACGATTGGTTCATATGCCACTTATTCCCTCAGGATCCTAAAACGCATGTGCACCATTAGTTTAGAATCAGGGTTTTCCAACTTCCCTACGTGGACTCTCCATGTCCACTAACCCGGTTAAAGCCTCTACCGGATATTTTCTGTTCGTCTTCTTAAAAAACATCCATAGTGCGATAACGGAGTGAGTAGGACTTCCCTGACAGGTTGGTGGACACGGAGGGTTCACCTAGAACAGTTGGAAAATCCGTAGTTCCAAACTAATGGTGCACATGGTTTCAGGATCCTGAGGGAATAAATGGCATAAGAATCAATTGTTGGACACAGGCTACCATGGAACTACATCTTACGTTGCTCCACTGCCTTGTGGATCAGACCTTCAGGTCAAAGGCTCCGGGTGTAACTCCTTAAGAAAACCACCTGTTTCGGTCTGGTCACCCAGGCAGTATCACCGCCCACACACAAACCAAGTGAATTATGTAGTGTATATGTATTCAATGCCTCTTTGTGCCAATATTTATGTGTTCTAATAAATCCTTCAGAAAGTTAACTCATATATTGACTGGCCATCAATGTACGATATACAGAAAAGTGATAATAAGATCACTATGTGACTGGCAAATACCCCATTTGCCAAGTTTTTTGTTACTATTCATGAACACCTCACGACTGTTCTATAATTTTTCTCTGTTTATTTTCAGAACATTCTAGTTTGTCATTTGAACGTAAATTTTCTATTCAATAAATCACATCCCTTTATTTCGTATTATAGTGTAACTTTGCTTGGATGAAATGTTCATTGGTTTTTATATTTAAAGTGTTTTAATCCATTAACATCCTTACAGATTCAAGCCCATCCTCTTGGTATAGCTTATAATCCATCTGGCAATTTATTGGCTAGTGGTTCATGGTCATCTTCTAGTCCAGTTATATGGTCTACTGTTCACAAGATTGATTCATCTTCTATTTTAATGACACCAATGAAAAAGCTACCAGGATTTCGAAGCTCACCAAAATCTATGATAACTGATGTTGCTTGGATACCAAACCAGTATGTTTCAAACGGACGTGACAGTATAATAGCTGTTCAATCAAATGGGACTATTATTGTATATAGCTCAATATAAGCATAATGTTTTAGATAGAATTTGTAAATACATATACAAGTTTTGTAAAATTCTTTCAGTTGGTTTTTTTCTCGAGAATCTGTAAATCAAGAGTACAACATCCAGTCACCAAATTGTAAGTTCAAATCCCTCTTCACCTAATTTCATCATTGTATCCAAGCGATATTATTTGCTCTCAGACAATAAGTACTTTCTAGCTGTAGTACAAAAGACTATGTTTATTTCATGAACTCGACTACCCGAAGTCGTCATATCTACACAGGTGACTGAAGTTCGTTTCTAGGACTAATTTTTTTTAGTATAGAATATTATAAATCTGTCGATCTGTAAACGAAATTACGCCATCAGTTGACTGGATGCACATTCTGTATGTTGTAGTGTCGGTTACTATGTTAAACCCATATAACCTATTCTATCTTCTGGACAGGCCAATTTATCTATTCTTTTTCAGTCAAGTTTTGACGTTGTTGAATATTCGATTATCAACCTTGACTGTTCTTATATGAGTGCATATATGTGTACACTTCTTATCCTATTCATTACATGTCTGTTGATTCACATACCTTCTCCACCGCGCATCACTCACTTCGTTTCGCATCATTGCTTAGATCGTCTGTTTGGATCAAAGATGATACAAAAAATATACGTATTCAACAATCCATTCTCATATTTGACTTATTTAATTCCATCATTCACTAACACGAGTTAAGTCGATAATTATATACGAGAATAGCCAGCCAGTCTGTATATGAAATTAGATCATCTGGACGTTTAATTTTAGGGACTCTGAGGAAGATAACGGAATATTTCTTAGATCTAACTAAATCCATGATGAAATGACTTAAAGCAGTTAAGTTGTTCGAAGTAAAATTGATAAAAACAAGTGGGGATTAAGTTGTCAGCTAGTTCATTGATCATTTGTGTTAGATGCCACAAAATTGATCAAATAACTGAATCTATTAGAATTATCGTATGGATGAGAGATTTTAAGGGTAATATAGATCAATTTCAGTAGAATATGAATAATTCTTATATCAATAGCCCTCCCTATACCTTCTGAAGATAAACAGTTAGGGGTTTGTAATGTACCCTACAAACAACATGGGAACACATTTTGCCGATACTTAACTGCCTTCAGAACTCAAATATTAAGGAAGCCTAGATGAGCAAGAAGGTTTTTAATTAAAGGGAAAGTGTAGCAGTTAACTGGGCTGTGAGAATCATTTTGTAATGCTTCATTGAAGGTCATGTTCATAACATTTCTTATTCATACACTGTCTCAACCAACTGAATAATCTATTTATTATAATTTGAACAATATAAGTGTGTTTAGTGGCCCTTCATCTAACTCCAATCAGATCTTTTGTTGGTTGTTATTCAAAGATACATCCCAGCTTCCCTTGTATATAATTATCGACTCAATTCGCATTAATGAATAACAGAGTTAAATAAGCCAAATACGAAAATGGATTTTTAATACCAGTATTTCATGCACTCGTTGATTTGAACAGGCAGTCGGGAGACGAAACGAAGAAGGGAGAGCGAAGTTAAGTGAGCCAAGCCCATCTAATCAAGTGTGACCCGATATTTATAGCCAAGCAAAAATATGTTACGGACACTTAATAAATAGGGTAAGTAATTACACGCATACCATCACATAAAAGCAGTCAAGGCTGATAAGCCAATAAAGTGATAAGCTCAAAACGTGGTTTGAGAAGAATGGATAGATAGGTCTGTCTAGAAACTGGAAAAAAATATGTGTACAGTAGTGTATGTGTGGGCGATAATCAATGGGTCATGCTATGTGTGATCACAAAATCTGAATGGAAGGTCAAAGGTCATGTTTTCTAAACAACGAATTTGCAAGAACGATGAAAGTTCCACGACCAAACCATCTAGCTCAGAGAATAGAACTCCAACCAAATCATCCACCTGAGCTACAAATCTTCTCCACCATCTCAGTACTTGTAATTGTACAAATTTCGAGAGTTGATGAAAAATGCAAATAGCAACAAAAATTAGTTACAAAATAAGTCTACCTTAATTATCCCTCATATATGTGAACGAGAATAGGAAGCAACATTGCCATTTCAAATTTCCAGGCTTCTTAGTAGATCTCTCTATTTTCTTCTTTTTAAGGAGCCAAAGGACTTCTGTGTATTTTCGAATAATTATATATTTGATTTATTACTTTTTGATGACTGTAGTGGCCGGAAATCTGACTCGCTTGAATGAATAAATGGATATGTAATGAGTATAAATCTTTTCTTTAATTTTTTGTACTACACACAGACTAACCACGTTCAAGCGACAGCAGTAATAAGAAGCCGATACAGATTACGTACGGTAAATTTAAATCAGGCATTCGTTTACTCAGACAGAAATTGAAAAGAAGCGGCGGTAAAGAAAAGCGGAGCGTGCGAGTGCTTCAACTTATCCTGATAAAGCAAGACTGATTATTTGTTTCCAGGCCAAAATCAGCTAAGTCATGTGATAAGTAGGGTAAGCGATGCACACACATACGCTCATATATGACCAGTCAGTGTTATGAGTGAATAATTGGCAAGATCAGAATGTGACTTAGGAATAATGAATTAACTGATCTGTCCGAAAGCTAGAATAAATCAAGTTTGTAGCAGTACTAGACGTTGCAGTGACAACGATTAGAAAAATCTGTGAGATTTATTGGTAACTTCCTTGAGTTTTACGTTACTTAGAAATATTTCTCTGAGTGCCTTTCGTTGAACACCAATATTATTTTGTTTTTGAAGATAATGGAGCCTTCTCTTGTCTATGAGAACCATCTCTAACATACCAAATACGGAAGGTGAGGACTGTCAGATCTGTAAACCTATTTTATAATGTTTGAACTCCTAAAAATCGACATAATTTGACAGGCTGTTAGTCAATGGCCTGAGATCATTAACTTAAGCTACAAGTTTACGACTTCCTCAACCTCCAAAACATCAACTATTTGTCTCTCTGTTAGTTGAACAATAAAGCAACAGAATTTCTGGTTACCATCAACACACTGAAGTTAAGCTGTTTTGTAGTAGGTTCGTTTTATTTGAACTACTGCCCTATTCCTAGTTGTTGTGACAATAAATTCGTTTCTACTTTATCCGCGGTAGTAACAATGAGATTCGTCGTGAAACTTCTACAGGGACTAATAGACAATCCTAGATTTTTACCCCTCTCTAGAGGTTTCCCTAATGTCTTTGACTAATGCTGGTGGAACTCGGTTTGGATCTCTCTGTGGTTACTATCGAGTCTAAGCACAGGTGGAAGAGAAGGGTGGAGAGTGGGGCTAACAACTCTGTCCATCCAGAAGCACTCTCTATTGAGACGCCAACTAGAGAAACCGTCTGATGTATTTGAACTTTATCCTTGGGATCTAAAGTGACTTTATACAGAACAGTTAGGTTCGCTGATTGAGAAAGCTGAAACGCTTCAAAAGTTACAAATTTGATGCTCACTCTGACAACCAAGGCAGCAAACGCGAATCCTTCTAATATGCCTTTGTTTGGTTGTCTGTCTATTCATCTGTTGGTCGTATTCTATTATTATATTAATGTATAAATACTTGAGACACAGTCAATGACTGTCACTCATGACAGTTCGTTCATTTCGGTACAATGCAGATTAGACCAGTCTAACATAGTCCCAAATTTATTTCGCCACAATACAAACGCTGGTTATTTTATTGTCAGTGCCATTTCTATCCTAGTACAATTACTGATGATTATAATATGCAGTGCTAATACAAATCCGATTCAACTACAAGAAGGTCTAAATTTGGCATTAATTCGATACTACTATTATCCCAGTCTGGTTTCGTCCATTAAATATAATTATACCTTGATTGTTTATTATTACTGATATGCTCATGAATTCAATTACTAATATATACATATACATATATTCAAAAACATTTGTATTCTAGCTCTTAATTAATTCGTTTGTCCTCAGTCATTGATCATAAAGACAACGAATGAAACAATACATTGAATGTCTGCACAGTCTGGGAGACCATGGAGGTCACTCAAATGGAGGGATAAACAGGAATATCCAACCTTCTGTGCTTGAGGTGAGAGAAATAACTGGGCACAGTTTGGTCAGGAATAGGTCTAGAAGAGCTGTTACCGTACTCGATTCACAAAGGAGAAAATACCACACATGCGAGATTATACCGAAACTACTTTATTAAACTACAAGTAGAGTCAATAGGATAGAGAACTTGTAGAAATATGGTCTACTATGATATTAGTACTGCTCGAATAATAGACCTAATCCTAAAATTATAGATTCGTCATGATATAACTGCCTAATCTATAAGATCTTACGTGGAAGTCACACCATCGACTACGCAAACTCACTGTATCGTATCAATTACCAATACATGATGTAGAACGACGTTAGGCTAGAGAAGGAACAATATATTTAATACGAGTAGAAGATATAAGATAACATTCAGATGGACCACGCCTGCATGGCCGAGCCATGCCATCCGATTAAACCCAGTCCATTCAATTCATTGTTCGCGCCTTCTCCATCGTTAGGTATTTCTCCGCGTTAAATATTGAATATTTATTTTCCGAGTAGTGTTGTGTTCACAGCTTTGAAGATTGTGTGGTTATGATCCAATGCCACTACACTACTCTCCCACCAGAATCAACGTGATGTTGGTTCGATACCAAATTGGATGGGATCGTCGCGCGCCGGAGGTTACCAAGGATAATAAGAATCCTCCGTGTATTGGTAAGCTGAAAGATAAATCAAAAAGAAAGCGGCAGCATCTGGTCGGGAAATACATGTAATAATTTTAAAATATCTGCCTTCATGCTTAAAACGCTTGAAATGAAAATTTGGGTGAAGATTATTTGAACTATAAAGAATGGCATAACAATAATAATAATAAAACGATGCGTGCTAATAGCCGTTGGTTAATAACTTAACGTATAGGTAGTAAGTATTTTGTGTTTAGAAGTATTAAAGTAATGAATGTTGTAGAAATATTAATATCGGTATTAGTTTTGGTTAAAATTATGAA